GAGACCGCCAAACCATGGGCCGCGAGGATCGTTGGGCCGTGAGGCATGCGTCATGGCAAGCACCGCGCATTCGATCTGTCGCTGCTGACCTCCAGGCCACGGTGCGCGAGGAGAGATATTGGGACGAGGAGTCTACTCTAGGCGTTGCCAAACACGCGTCTGTTCGGGCTGACATGTTCAGGGTGCAGCAACAGCCAACTTCCCTCATTTTATATTGTTCCCCGCTCACCTTTCGATGCAGGACGCCATCTCCCAAGGAGTCTGTCTCCTAGGAGTTTTGGGCTGGAAATGCCTGGGGTGATTTCTTCGCGAAGCTTGGCTCGGCTTCCCATGCGTTCTCGGATGGTTTCGCTCAGGCATTGGCAGGCGAGTTCTCCTATCAGAAAACCAGGCTCAAGCTTCTGGCTTGGGCTGCGCAGCGAATGCTGCAAAGTCAAAAGCGGACTGATGATTGTGAGAACATTCTGGTTCCCCTCGACCCCCTTTCTCCTCCTGTCACCAGCCACACTGTTGGCACAGCGTGGACAGGACTGAACGGAGATGCTGCGCCCGTCGCACATGGGCCCACACTGCGGGTTTTTCATGGCCATGCCCGCACGGCGGCCCACCAGGAAGTGGCTGCCCTCTCCTGTCCAGAGACGGTCTGCCATAGACACACGAGCGACGACCAAGCATGGGTCTTGCGCGAGGTGGCACACCGACCTTACGCGGTGGCTTGCGCGGGCCGCCAGCGCGCCACGCAGCACTGGAGAGGAATGCGCCTACACGCGACCTCAGGCGGGCAGCTCGCGCGCCAATGTCGGCGCAGACGACCCCGCTTGCCTGCGTCGCTCACACTGATTCAGGCTTACGATGCTGTGAGCGTTGCCGTGCAGGCTGCTCAGCGGCTCACGCAGGGAGGGTCTCGGGGATCCGAGGAGGTCCAGGGCCCCCCCCCCACTCCCGAGGCCCAGGGGCCCGAAACCTTCCGAGAGTTTGATGCCTTAGGGCAGGCCGTGTTCACGTGTGGCGAGCACTTCTGTTGTCGCGGGTGCGGTGGCCATGGCAGCGCTGGTTCCCTTGTCAAGCTCGCCGCTCGGAGCAAAGGGTCTGCTAAGAATGTTTCCACCAGGGCCACCCAGAAGATGACGGTCCGACGGCTGGAAAGCTGGAAGCACACCCGAAGGCAGGTGCTCAACTCATTCAGTTGTTTTTTGCCCTCCCCCCCTCGTCGCCCGGAGTCGCCCCCACCCCGCCCCCCGCATACCACTTCTTCAACACGCTGCTGTGGGGGAAGCGGGGCAAGGCTCCGTCACGGTGGCAGCGCAGCGCAGGCTCGACTCCCTTTCCTCCTGCAGGTGCTCCTCCAGTGGCGGGCGATGAGAACGGATTCGTCTGGTGGCGGCCGCAGCCAGGCGTAGTGATGCTTGGGCAGAAGCTCGCACTGGGCACGATGCACTTCGATCGCACACGTGCGCGGGAAGAGTGATGGGGGCCCAGGGACACACAAATTAATACACCGAAATCCCCGGATGCCCCATGTTTTCTCATAGTTCCTGGGTTTTCGTCTTCCCCCCCACTTCCCATAGTTTCGTATATGTTCTACAGACTCGACGATACACTGTGTCTGTATGTTTTTTTGTTCCCCTCCTGAAAGAGGTGCTCAAAGCTGGTAGCTCTCGGAGGCGTGGGGAGGCTGCCAGGCCATGACCCAGACCTGGCGCGCCCCCCCAGACCGCCGACCACAGCATGTTCCGCTGGAGGTGGACCCCTGCCGTTCCGAACAGGACCTTCTGCCTGGGCCAACACGCCCATGCAAGAGGCGCACCATGACAAAGCTCACTGCTCCTTCTGCACGTGAGCCAGGCTGACTCTGGCCTCGGTCCACACGACGATCCAGAGCTAGAAGGCGCAGCGGCCTCAGGAGCTCCCTGACCGCATAGAAGCAATCGTCGCTCGATGAGCGCGCCCAGCAACGAAGAAAACGCCGGGGCCACAACCGGTACCTCCGACACCACGGGTCGGACGACCAGCACGACTCTCTGCCACCACACCCCGGCACGTCAAGATCACGTGGCGAGCGCCTGCCTGCAGCACATACGGCCGGGGCGAGCCCGCTGCCCCCTCCGGCGGCCACAGAGGCCCCTCCTCCTCCTCCTCCTCCTCTTCCTCCTCCTCCTCCTCCTCCTCCTCCTCCTCTTCCTCCTCCCCCCTTCCCCCTCCTCCTCCTCCTCCTCCTCCTCTTCCTCCTCCTCCTCCTCCTCCTCCTCCTCCTCCTGGGCCCCTCGCTCCCGCCGGGTGCGGCGGCCCCTGGGGGCCAGAGGTTCGGGCGGCCGAGGCGCGAGCCGCGCGCCGACCCTTCAGAACCACCTGCTCTCCCACACAGCCCCCCTTGGGCGTAGAGCCCCCCCCAAAAATACTCGAAGGGCGAGCACTTTCTGCGCGTGCTCGGTGGCGGATTGGGACCCTCTACAATCTTTGAAAAAGCGGGGGGTGAGACCGCAGTGGAACGGGGAGCCGCCCACTGGGGAATCGGTTTCGGAATCGTGTTCGTGTCGCGCGTGCGGGCGAGGCGAAGCTGCGTGGGCGCGAGAGGAACGATTACGCCGTCGCGAGGGCGACTCCGATGCAAAAATCGGGCCCTCTGGTGGGCGCGCGGTGGCTGGGGGTGTCCCACTGTGGTGTCTCGCGGTGTCCCGATGGTGCCCCGCGATGCCTCGCCGTGGGCGCGCGAGAGGAATGATCCCGCCGTCGGATGCAAAAGCCGGGTCCTCTGGCGGTGGGCGCGCGGTGGCTGGGGGTGTCCCGCCGTGGTGCCCCGCATTGTCCCGATGGTGACCCGCGGGGTCCCGCCGTGGTGTCCCGATGGTCTCGTGGTGTCCCGTGGTGTTCCGTGGTGTCCCGGCCCGCGGTGTCCCAATAGTGTCCCGCAGTGCCCCGTTGTGTCCAGTGGTGTCCTGCGGTGTCCCGCCGTGGTGTCCCGATGTTGTCCCGATCGATAACGAGATCGATAGTGGGATCGATAACTACCGAGATGTGGTGAGATCGGCAGTGAGATCGATAGTTGGATCGATAGTGAGGTCGATAGTGGGATCGGTGGCGAGATCGATCGTGCGAGCGGCAGTGAGATCGATCATGAGATCGATGTTTGCATCGACAGTGCAATCGATAGTGAGGTCGATGGTGCGATCGATTGCGGGATCGATAGTGAGATCGATCGTGAGTTCGATTGTGAGCTCGATTGTGAGATCGATGTTGATCGCTGTGTCGTCACCCGCATCGTCACCACCACACCCATCACAGTTGCCAGCTGTTGCTTCTTTCCCCTCCCCCCGACCTCCTTCTCACCCGAAGGGTGGTCGTATAAGCAATTAGTCCCCCGCGGCAGCCACCGCTCAGGCCTCCGCCGTCGTCGTCGTCGTCGTCGTCGTCGTCGCCGCCGCCGCCGCCGCCGCCGTAATCGTACTCGCAGGAGGCCGCTTCAGGGCCCCAGAAGGTCTCCTCCTCCTCCTCTTCCTCCTCCTCCTCCTCCTCTTCCTCCTTCTCCTCCTCCTCCTCCTCCTCTTCTTCCTCCTCCTCCTCCTTGTACGCGCGGGCTGAGCAGGAGACGCCCACGCGTGGGAGGGCGAAGGGTAGGACGAAGAAGGGAAGGACGAGGAGGGAAGGACGAGGAGGGGAAGGACGAGTATCACTGCCAGCCGAGAGCTTTGGGGGGGGGGGTCACTGGCAGCATCGAAGACCCTCTGAGGCTACTTACCCCCGATCTTGCTCCTCCTCCCTCCCCCCCCCTCCCCCAAGGATCCTGGACAGCCGCCCGCGTGCCTCTCCCCCCTGCCATGTGAACCAAACGGTACCGACATCGCCACGCCCCGCACCTCTCCCCGGGCTCGCTCTGGGCAGAACTTCGAGGAGAATCCAGCCGCGGTGACAAGGATTCTCCAGGACGAGCAGCGGCACCGGGTATATCTTCCTACTCTGAGCCTTCTTCTCCTCCCTTCTTCCCCCCCTCTCCTGCTCCTCCCCTGCGATCCGACGGCGCGGAAAAATGAAAAATCTCGTTGATCACAGAGGCCAGAGCTGAGGATCCCCGTCGTTCTGCGCACTGCTTCGAGCTGGAACGGTCTGTGACGGGCCCCCAGGCCCGACAGACACTGAGACGCCGGGATCTCGGGGTCCCCCCTCTCCTGCTTTTTCCAGTGCGCGGTCCCCGCAGGTCCAGACCCTTTTCCCGGGGACAGCGTCTCCACGCGTGTCGCTTTCCGACGGTGCCGAGGCCCGGCGGGGGCCCCCACAGGCCGAAAGCGGCCAGGAGCCGTCCGTCGTGATCGCTGCTGCGGCGCGAGCGCGTCTGGGTCTCGTGCGCCGCCCCCCCTCCCCCCCTCACACGCACCCCCCCAGAGATCCTGGACAGCCGCCCGCTGAGCTCCAGGACGTGCTTCTCCACCTGGCCGAGCTGATCCGGGAAGCCCCGAACCAAGACAGGCTGCCCTCTCTTGGGGGCGCATCTTCTGCTTCCGCCGCCATGTGGACGTTGTCTCATTCGGTGTTTCGGCATTGGACGGAGGGGCTGGTCACGTTCGTGTCGTGTGGTGTTCGTGTCGTCACGACAACAGCGCTGGTTTCTGACACCGATGAACGTCCGCTGGTCAACGTTTTCTTATTCGGTGTTTCGACACTGGGCGGAAGGGGGGGAGGGGGAGGTCTGGCTCGGGACCTCTGCTTACTGCGGCTGCTGGCAGCAGTGCGCCCTAAAGGAGATGAGTCCACCTGCTTGAAGCAGGCGCCCCAAATAGCCAAGATCTACTCCATGGGGGGATTGAGCAAAGCCCGACCGTCCCGGCATTCCTATAGGCCTACCACGACACCACGACATGTTCTTATAATCCAAATAATGTTCTGATAATGCAGACAAAGTTCTTACAATCTCAGCCCGATGCACTAACACAAGACCGTCCCAGCCAGAAATGTTCTAAGAACATTTCGGGTGAAACACGGCAGGTTCTTGGAATATTTCTTTGGGTGGGCCGATAGGCAAGCCAGGACGCCTCGTCACTGCTTGAGAGGTGGGGGTGCGAGGGCCCGCGCCGATCGGCAAACCAACGAATAAGACAACGATCACCTTCCGCCGGCCTTTCGCCAGCGGCGGCAGCCTCCTCTGACTTCCGCCGCCTTCCGCCGAGGACCGCCATGACTATAGGGCAACCGCTCCGAAAACCTCGAGGGCGAGACCCCTGGCGCGAGCGCCCCACCTCGAGCGGCTCCGCCTCGGCGCAGCGCGCCGCCGTGCCAAAGTCCGCGATGCCCTCGAGCCTGCCCACCCGCTCGGAGAGCTCCGCCATGTGCCTCGTGAACTCCCTGCCTTAGGGGCATGAGCAGGAGCAGGCAAGTTTGCTTGCATGGCGGTCGCCCCCCCCCCCCCCCCCTCACAGCTCTTCAAACGAATACTAGCGTGCAAGTGCCTTTGGACTTGCGTAATTTCCACACGTGCAAGGTCGTTTGCGGCTTGCTTCAGGTTCAAGCCCCCCCCCCCCGTCCATGCAACTAAACTTGCCAGAGTCTGAAAAAATAGGCCCCGGGAAACCCAGACATGTCGACTCGCAACAAAAACCATGAGGGAGGCTTTGGGCTGTTTTTGGCCTCTGGGGGCCCTCGCCGGGCCCCAGGACAATCCAACAATGACTCCAAATGAAAAACCAGCCCTGGGGAAAAGGTCAGGGGACTTCTGGAGACCACGTTTTGAACAAATCAAAGCAAAGCATGCCTGGGGAGGCAGGAGACGGCAGCCCCGAGATCCTGGCGTCGTGATGTTTCTCGAGCCGGGCGCTTTCGCCCCATATTTCGGCCTGGGGGCCCTCACAGAGTATCGATCCTGCTCGAAGCATGGCGCAGCACGATGGGGTCCGGGGCTCTGGTCGTGCTCTTTTACGGTGTTGCAGTTTTGCCGCGCCGTCGCATCTCAGGGCGGGAGGAGGAAGGGCAGGACGGAAGGAGGGGAGGGGGAGGGAGCAGTAAGGCGAGGCAGAAGAGGGGGGCCGTGCTTGGCGGCAGATGCGGCGCGCGGGCCTCGGACCGGTGCCAACACCTGGCTGGCTGGCTGGCTGAGGCTGCGGGCAGGACCGAGGAGCCACAGGGCACCAGGGGCGGCTGAGGTGGGCAACCGAGGAGGAAGGACAGGGAGGGTGGATAGGGAGCCCACAAAGGACGTACGCGCCCAGCTATGTACATGAACACGGCCCCTCGATCCGCGAGACCGGCCGCGTTATACGAACATTTGCGCAATGCGTACTCTCGAAACCAGCGTGGATTCATGTACGTGTACGTCCTTTTGTCGCTCCTGAGTGGAGGAGGAAAGGACGAGGGCAGAGGGCGGCAGCTACAGTTGGGGCGTTGACCTAAGGAACCCTAGAGAAGGAACGAGGTCCCTTTATCCCACAAGCTCAACTCCGATTTACGATGGAAAACCTCAGGAAAACCCAAGGAGCACTGCAAAACAACTAAGGAACACGGAGCCCCCCCCAAACGAAAAGGGTTCCTTCTTCAGTGCCCCGACTGTTTGGGGGGGGAGGGGGGGGGGGCGGAGGGGTTTCCTGAAGGTTTGAGGCCGGTTTGGCAGGGGTCAAGCGGGGCCCTGGGGGTCCCAGCAATCAGGGAGGACACGCAGGAAGAAAACGAGAAGGACACGAATCCCGATCCGCCTCAAAGCGCGGAGCGTCACTTCGGTATTGAATGCGATCGAGTGCCCAAGTCCCGATTGGTCAACAGATTGCCAATTGGGCCAGGTACGGATCAACGACCTCTCTGCCTCATCTCCCTGCTCCTCCTCCTCCTCCTACTCCTACTCCTACTCCTCGCTAGCCTGTCGCAACTGCCTGCCCCCCTTAGGGGTATTGTTGGTAACGACTTGTCAAACAACCTTTTCTGCTTGAGCAGACATCTGATACCTGGGTGCATTAAAAACAATATCCTCTGCCAGATTCCATCTTATCCAGTCACTGACTGTGCTTGCAAGCGTGGACTCCAAGCAGTGGGTTCATACACTTTCGATGTGCGCTCTGTGCGGCGCAAAATTTGCGAGCCGATATGTGCGGTGCAACCTCTGTGGTGCAACCAATGGTATACAATATGCGTTGCGCAAGCTACGTGGTGCTTGCGCTGTGGTGCAAGCTATGTGGTCCAAGCTTTGCGGCGCAAGCTATTTGCTGCAACCAGTGCGGTGCAAGCTATGCGGTGTAGTCTGTTTGGTGTAATACACGCTGTGGGACATCTGGAATGAACCCTGTGGGGTGCGAACTTTGTGGTGGCCTCGGCGTGGGGGATATATTCTAATTCTGGGGAAACCGAAAAGTACCTATGCTGCTACGCCCCAGACCTCTCCTAAGGTGCGTTCTGACCAGGATTTCGGGGCGAATCCAGCGGTGGCGACGAGGGCCCCCCAGGAGCCCCCAAAAAAGGGACAACGAGGGAAGGGTAGCAGTATGGGTAACCTTTTCCTCCTTTGAGGTTCTGCCTGCCGAAAAGAGAACATGTGTGAGCGTGAGCATCGCTTAACCGATCCCCATCACCACCAGCGTGGGCTGGGCCCCACTGGCCGATTCACCCCCTTGGATGGGGATAGAGGCTGCTCTCTTCCGGTTTCGAGGGGCATATCCCCAACTGAGGTGGTGAGACGGTGGGGCTCGAGATGCAGATTGGGATGGGGATGGGGATCGGTTAGACGATACTGAGACAGGGCGGCGACCGGGCGGCGACTGAGACGCGCCAGCCCACACGCGCGTCGGCGACGCAGCGGCGCGGAGGGCGACCACCGGACGAAACCCCGGACGAGCGCCAGCCACGGCACGGGGCGGCGATGGGCGGCCATCGCACGGCTCAGCCAGCGCGCTCGAGGCTCCCTCCATGGGGCCCGAGCAGATGGGGGTTGGAGGCTCGCGCCGCATCGCCGATACATCCGCGGTACATCGCCGCCGCATCGGCGATGCATCGGCGACGTCGGCGAGGCATCGGCGCCATCGGCGTGGAGAAACTCGGGCCCCACATCGCGCCGCATCGCCGATGCATCGGCGGCGCGGCGCGCTCCCCCGACCCCACCTGCTCGGGCCCCACCTTGGAGGCCTATAGAGCCTGGAGACACGGCGGCGACAGGGCGGCGACCCGGCGAGCACCGAGACGCGCCAGCCCACACGCGCGAGGCGGCGCCGCAGCGGCGAGGAGGGCGACCACCGGGCGGGACCCCGGGACGAATGCCAGCCGCGGCACGGGGCGGCGACGGGCGGCCATCGCACGGCTCAGCCGGCGCACGAGGTTGCGACAGCGCGGCGACGGGCGCCCACCGGGCGAGCGCCGGGCAACGCCGGCGAGCTGCCCAGAGAGGCACGTCGGAGCCACGGGGGGCGAGCACTGTGAAGGGAACTCGCGAAGCGAACCCGTCGTCTCGAGAGCTTCCAGAAGGGATGCTGAGGCCCATGGGCCGTCGAGGCGGCGGGGGGGTCGAAGCGAAATCCGCCCCGCGAAAGTCGGCTATAGGGGGGGGGGATGCGGGCAAGTTCGTTCAAAATCTGTCCCCGGACCCGTCCTGGGATGCAAGCTGACTGGCCCTCCCCGCTGCGTCCAAGTGTGGTGACGAGGAGGGCCCTCATCCCTTCTTTCTGTTGGCCGGAACTGTTGGTGGGCCACCTCGGCCCCCCAGCCAGGTTCCAAGCGGCCCCCTCCATGGGTGCGGCGGGGCACGGGCTGCCACAGACGTGGCGCTGCCGAGCTCCGATGCGCAGATCGAGGGCCGCCGCCACCCGGGGGCCGCAGCTCGGAGGCCCAGGCAGTGCGACCAGCGGCGCTGCCTCTGGCGACCAAGGAGTGCGGCAGCCGTCCAGAACCCCCTGACCTGCATCCTCGTCTCCCGTCTTCTCCGAGCAGGGCGAGTTGAGACAAGTTAACGGGCGAAGAACGGCATAAAATAAACTTTTTCGCTGTCGGGGGCGCCTGTCCCAGGGCGGCTGGAAAGTTTATACCTTTACGGTGGCACCGTAGGGGTATAAACTTTCCAGCCGCCCAGGGACAGGCGCCCCCGACAGCGAAAAAGTTTATGTTATACCGTTCTTCGCTCGCTGAACAAGGGCAGCTCAAAATCGGTCCCTGGACCCCTCTCGGGGCCCACTCGCCTCAGCTTTCCGAGCGGCGTCCAGCCGTGGCGACGAGGGTCCCCCCCCCCACACCCGAAGGCCGACGATCCTCGACTCCACGCGCCCTCCTCCGATCCGCCTCCTCGCTGATCCTCCGCCTCCTCCTCCTACCCCCCCCCCAAATCCCCCTGGAAAGCACTCTCAGACCCGACGCAGCGAACAGCACTGCAACGCCGCGAACAAATCACGACCCTGGCCCCACTGGCCCTCGCTCGGACGCCCATTCCCCGTGTTTTTCTCGGTTTCGTGCGTGGGTTTTTTCGCCAAATGGTCGAGGATGCTCCTCGATGGTCCGCGCCGGGGAGAAAACGCACACGTCCGAGCGATGCCAAGAGCCCCAGGGCCCCACCGTTTCTGCGTCAGTCTGCATGCCAGGTCGACCTGCGAGGGCCCCGGGGCCCGAGACGGGGCGAAGACGCCAGGCGCGAAGGATCGAGACGCCAGGGGATCTCAGAGAAACGAGCAGCTCACAAGATAGAGGGAGGAGAGGAGGAGGAGGAGGAGGAGGAGGAGCAGCAGCAGGAGGAGGAGGAGGAGGAGGAGATGAGGAGTAGGAGGAGGAGGAGGAGGAGGAGGAGGAGGAGGAGGAGGAGGAGGAGGAGGAGGAGGAGGAGTAGGAGTAGGAGTAGGAGTAGGAGTAGGAGGAGGAGGAGGAGGAGGAGGAGGAGGAGGACCAGTGCAAACCCAAGGCCCATCAGCGATGTTGGAATGCACCCTCCCTCCAACCTCCAAGCTCCCTCTGCAGAAGTCACTAACAGGGGTCATTTCCAGGACTTTCACGCCACGAGCTAGCCTCACTGTAACATCTTGGTGATCCTGAATCGTGCCAGCACCATTCCCGGGACTTGAACACCGCGAATCAACGCAACGGTTGCGGCCCGACAATCCTGAGTGTTCCTAAGACATCATGTCGGGCACGTTGACCATGCGTAGCAGTAAACCTTCTGCAACACTTTAAAGCGAATGCGAGTGGCGCTCAAGCGAAAACCACATGTTGCAAAGCCCCGCCATCAATCCGTGTAGCTCTTGTAAGTTCATCTAAACCGAATGTGCGCGGCGCTAGCATTATATATATCTGTATTAAAAACGACGCGCCCTGAATCAGTGAAAGAAACTCTTGCAAGCGTTTAAAGCGAAGGGGCGCGGCGCTAAGTCGAGAAACAACTGTTCGAAAACGACCCGCCCTCAATCCGCGAAGCTCTTGCAAATATCTAAAACGAGTGTTCGCGGCGCGAGCCATATTTTGAAAACGACTCGACCTTGACGCTCTCGCGTAATTGTGGAACGCGGCGCTCAGGCGAGAACCACATCTTTAAAACGACCCGCCATGGATCCGTGAACCTCTTGCATAATTCTTAAGCCATGAGCGCGGCGCTAAGGCGAGAGCCACATTTGGAAAACGAGCCGCCCTCAACCCGCGAAGCTCTTGCACATTTTACAAAGGATGACCGCGGCGCTCAGACGAAAACCACATTTTGAAGACCACTCGCCCTCAGTAAGTGAAAATCTTGCAAATGTGTGGAACGAATGTGCGCGGCGCTCAGGCGAGAGCCACAGTTTGAAAACCATCCGCCCTCCATCGGTGGAACTGTTGCCACGATCCAAACTTCAGAATCAAAAGTGGCGAGGAGGTCTCAAGCGAAACGCCCGGCCCACCCTTTCGACCAGCATCGGAATGCAACAAGGAAGAGTTATCTATAAGGACATGGAGTGGAGAAGGGTGATGATCAGGAGGGAGGAGACGAGAGGGGGAGCGGAGGAGGAGGAGGAGGAGGAGGAGGAGGAGGAGGAGGAGGAGGGCTCTCATTCCCTGCCTCTGCTCCGCTCGCTCCCTCCCCGCTCCTGGCGTCTCCTTTTCCCTCCCACCTGGTGTTCACCCTCCCCCCGTTGCCCTTGGCCTGCGGTTCGCGCGCATCGCCCTGCTCTCTACTCGCTTTAGGCGAGGTCGGCGCCTCTTGGCTCTGCTTTCTCTCCCTTTCGACCAACGACGGTTAGCGCCTGCGGCGCAACCCGCGGAGTCAAGAAGAGGAGGGGGAGGAGGAGGAGGAGGAGGAGGAGGAGGAGGAGGAGGAGGAGGAGGAGGAGGAGGAGTAAAGAAGGAGGAGGCGGAGGAGATGAGAAAGAAGAAGAAGAAGAGAAGAAGGAGAAGGAGGAGGAGGACGAGCAGGAGGAGGAGGAGGAGTAGGAGGAGGAGTAGGGGGGAGGAGGAGGAGGAGGAGGAGGAGGAGGAGGAGGAGGAGGAGGAGGTGGAGGCAAGCGGCGACGCCAGCATCTCAGGGAGCCTGCCGCCCGCGCGGACGTCCGACTCCGCATGCCTGCGTCGTTTCTGTGGGCTTGGCCGCGCGCCGTCCGACGGGCCGCCCGGGGCCCCCGCCAAGGCCCGACTCGGTCGCCCTCACGTACGCCTCCGCGGAGGCCACGCGCGCGTCCACCTGCCGACGGAGGTCCGCCGCGGCCTGGCCGGGAGGGGCAGGAGGAGCAGCGAGGGGGTCCGGGAGGCGGAGCGCCCGCGGCTCGCAGGCGCGGTGGCCCAGCGACCGCCCGCGCGCCCGAGCGACCGCCCAGCGACCGCCCAGCGACCGCCAGCGAGGTGCTCGCAGCGGCTCGCGCTTCGCGAGGGGGGGGGGGGGGCGAGGAGGCACGGGTGCAACTCGCCGAGAAGGAGGCGGAGGCGGAGGCGGCAGAGGCGGCGGTGACAGGGATCCGTTGCGGTGGTGGTCGGGGCGAGGTGTTGATAACGGCGACGACGACGATGATGACCATGACGGCGAGGAGCATGAGGCCAGGAGGAGGCGAGCGCAGAAATGGAGGACGAGGACGAGGAGGAGGACGAGGAGGAGGAGGAGGAGGAGGACGAGGAGGAGGAGGAGGAGACAACGAATAAAGGAGTCCATAGTCCGCGGCGGGTCTACGGGCGCGACGGCGGGGGCGGCTGCTACTCAGAAGGGGTCGAGAGCGTAGCCGCCGTCACGCGGAGGTGCGATGAGGCGCGATGGGGGCTTGTGGAAGGCGCGCTTGCAGCGCCAGCACCGTGGCATGCCGGTGCCACGAGATTGAAAAACCGTCGGTGGGAGGCTGGGCACCGCGCCACCAGCGGGAAGGATGCACGGCACCGCACCTCTGGGCGTACCCTCCAGAAGGAGGGAAGAGATTGCCGACGCTGCAATCTCGCACGCAGGGCAAGACGGGGCGTGAGCGGCGCTTCCAACGGCTCGGGTGTTGCTAGAAGTGCCCCTGGCCCAAGGTGCCCCCAGGATTTCTATATGGAGGCCCCCACGGCCTCCGGAGCACCCCTCACGAGCCCAAGAGGGCCCCATGGGGCTCCCAAATGCGGAAAGGTGGCGGCCCTTGGAGGGGCACTTCTAGCAACACCCGAACGGCCAGGAAGCCCACGCACGCCGGGTCCAGCACGCTCGCCCTCAGCAGGCTCAATTCCTCCATCGGCCGGGGAGCCCAAGAGGAGGAGGAGGAGGAGGAGGAGGAGGAGGAGGAGGAGGAGGAGGAAGAGGAGAGGACCGGGAGGAGGAAGAGGAGGGAGGAGGAGGAGGAGGAGGAGGAGGAGGAGAGGAGGGAGGAGGAGGAGGAGGAGGAGGAAAGACGAGAAAGAGGAGGAGGAGGAGGGGAGAGGAGGAGAAGAGAATGAGGAGGAGGAGGCGGAGGAGGAGGAAGAGGAGAGGAGGAGGAGGGGGAGGAGGAGGAGGAGGTGGAGGAGGGGGAGGAGGTGGAGGAGGAGGAGGAGGAGGAGGAAAGGAGGAGGAGGTGTACATTGCCGTGACAAAAGTATTATGCGGTCTTCACTCAACATGACTCAAGACTGGCGGAGTAAACGGAGTGGGCGGAGTAGAAATTACGCCGCGTGGACATGCATCCCGTCCAATTTTTCATATAGGAATGGGCGGAGTAATTTCCGATCCTGTTTTGAGATAACAATTTTATTAATTAGAGGTAGACGAATTACTCCGCGGGATCGCGGAGGACGCATGTCAATGTTAGGAATCTTCCGAGGGATAGGAGATTCCAACCTATCATAAAACCGCATAGTCTTTTGTCACGGCGGTGTAGGAGGTGGAGGAGGAGGAGGAGGAGGAGGAGGAGGAGGAGGAGGAGGAGGTGTGTGTGTGTGTGTTGTGGTACGCGAAGGCTATGGCGTGGCTCCCGCTGGGGGGTTCGCCTCCGTGGCGGTGCGGGTCGCCGCGCCTGGGGAGCCGCTGCTCCCGTCGGTGCGGGGCAGTGCCAGTGCGGGGAGCGCACGACCCTGAGATCCGACGCTCCCCCCCAAAAATGGCGCGGCGGGATTTTGGCGTCATCCTTCCATCCTCTTCCTTCCATCCTTCCATCCTCTTGGCCTCCTGCCCCTGAGATCCGACGCTCCCAACAGCAAAGTGGGCGCGGCGGGATCTGGGCCGTCTTCGGCCTCCGGGGGCCCTCGCCGGGCCTCGGGAGCGTCAAACAGCGACTCAGGACGAGAACCGGTCCCGGGGAAGGGGTCTGGACCTCCGGGGCCCACGCATCGAAGAGATTCGAGCAGCCGGCTGTCTAGGGGGGCGCGGGGCGTGCAAGGGCGGGGAGCGCACGGGGCGGATGGGCGGGAGCTGTGGCCAGGAGGCAGTGCTCCGCCGAGCAGTGTATACCTCTGACGCCCCTATGCCTCCTCTCCGTCCTCCTCCTCCTCCTCCTCCTCCTCCTCCTCCTCCTCCTCCTCCTCCTCCCCCCTACTTCCATGCTCAGCACGCTCGCCGCTTCACTCCATCGTCTCTGTTTCATGATTTCTGCCAATGCACCCATGTTGTGCACGGCTTCTGTCTGTCTGTCTGTCTGTCTCTGTCTCTGTCTCTGTCTCTGTCTCTGTCTCTGTCTCTGTCTCTGTCTCTGTCTCTGTGTCTGTCTGTCTATCTATCTGTCTGTCTGTCTGTCTGTCTGTCTGTCTGTCTGTCTGTCTGTCTGTCTGTCTGTCTGTCTGTCTGTCTCTGTCTGTCGGTCTGTAGCGGAAATGACCCGTGCGACGCCAGTGGGGCGTGGTAGGAAGTCTCGCGCTGGTGCAATTGCGTAGGAAAAGCGCCGAGAATGACAGTGATTCGCTTCGCACAGAGGTGCAGGCAACAAGCGCAGCAGAGCACGCGCGCGCGACGGAAAGAACTGGCTTACACACGCCAGAGCTATCCTTTTTGGCACGGAGGCGCAGAGCTTCCAACAACCAATCATCTTGAGCCAACATGGCTTGAGCCAAAATGGCTACGGAACGACGAGGAAGAGGCTCAGACTTGCGACGTCTTTGTTGGTTGTTCGATGTCTCTAGAAAACGCCCACAAGGGGAACAGATGCGATTCCCAGACGTCCAGACCCTTCCCCCAGGGCTGGTTTTCAGCCCGAGGCGCGCTGTTTGACGGTCCCAGGGCACAGCGAATGTTCCTGGAGGCTGAGAGCGGCCAAAGAAACTTCCGGCCTTCCGGTCGTGAGTTCGTCACGGCGCAAGCATGTCTGGGGAGGCGGTCAGCTGGGGTCTCGAGTTGGCGCGACGGGGCCATCATGGTAATGATGAGAGCCACTCTGAAATTTGACGCGAGCTCCCGCTGCAGAGACATTCCCACGGAAGCCGGGCCGTCAAAAGTCAAAACCCAGGACGCGCTCGTCACAAAAAGTCGGCTCATCCGAGCTACAGAATACTCGAGTCTTACGCTTCCTCCCCGACAGCAGCAGCCCCAGACATCCAGCTGCTCCAATTTTTTCGATGCGTGGGCCCCGGAGGTCCAGACCCCTTCCCCAGGACCCGTTTTTCCTCCTGAACCGTGTTCTGACGCTCCCGAAGCCCGGCGAGGGCCCCCGGAGGCCGAAAACGGCCCAAATCCCGCCGCTCCCATTTGTTTTGGGAGCGTCGGATCTCAGGGGCAGGAGGCCAAGAGGACCCTGACCTTCCAGGAGGGCTAAAAAATAGCACCCGACTTTAAAAAACCTATCCCAAAGCTATTCTACGTCTTGGTTCTAAGCTGGTTCGCTCGGTGTTGTAAGTTTTTAAGCCTCCAGTGCTAAAAAATAGCTCTCTGGAAGGCCAAGGGGATGGAAGGAGGAGGCCGGCCAGGTCCACGCGCCCGGCGAGCTCGTCGTGCAGGCGCGAGGGCTCGGCGTCCTCCCTGCGGCCCCCGGGGGCGCCGAGCGCGCAGGCCAGCCGCTCCTCCGCGCGGCGGATGCCCTGCCGCGGGTCCCAAAATTTGGGTCGGGCGTGTCCTCCTACAGGAGGACCTTGGACGCAGAATCAGCTACCCAGGGACGTACCCAAGAGGCCCCCAAGAGCCCCCCAAGAGGCCCAAGGGGGCCCCAAGACGCCGCCAAGGAGCCCCAAGAGACCCCCAAGAGGCCCCCAAGAGGCCCCTAGGAGGCCCCAAAGATGCCCCCAAGAGGCTTCAAAGAGGCCCCATAGAGCGCTCGAGGGCCGGCGGAATGAGCGAAGCGATTAAATAAGCTACCCAGGGACGTACCCAACCTTGTGTACATATGAGGCGGCCATACATCGGACCGCTCGCTACAGAAGCAAGCACCGAAGGACCGTGCTCTTGCACGCTTCGCCAAAGAACGTTGGGCCAGAGTCAAATGTTTCACATTCGCGGCATCATTCTTAAGAGTCAAATCGTTGGCAGGAAGGCGACCACGAGGGGGCGTGGAAACATACTGATGAAGGTGGAACTGGAGACACGCTTCGTCGGAGAAAGAGCGCGTTGAGCTAGGTTCTCATTGCATAACAGCGCCATGCGCACTATGACAGAGCAGCTCCCTGCGCTAAGCGCTGCAAGTGCCCGAGTTCACTACGAGGAAGAGGCAATTGAAGAATCGATGCGGCATGGGCACATGACAGCGCCATGCGTTCCGCGGCGCCCCATTCCGTTACGATGTGCGATCAAACAGCGCAGCGAAGTCTCATGGTGGTCCCCGTGGGATACCTCTCCGCTGGACTTCCCTGGAGCCCACGATGGGTGGCGATGGTTCCGCAGATCGCAGCCCCCGAAGGGACGGCGAAATCTCGTGGTGATCTGCGTGGGACGTACCTCCGATGGTTTTCCGTGAATCCCGCGAACGTGGCGACAATTTCGCAGATCGCAGCCCCCCAGGGGGCGACGCGGTCTCGTGGTGATCTGCGTGAAACGTACCCCCGCTGGCCCTCCCAGAAGCCCACGAAGGTGGCGACAGGCTCGCAGATCGCAGCCCCCTGGGGACGGCGAGGTTTCGTGGTGATCTGCGTGGGACGTACCTCTGGTCCTCCCAGAAGCCCACGATGGGTGGCGACGGTTCCGCAGATCGCAGCCCCCCAGGGGACGGCGAAGTCTCGTGGTGATCTGGGTGGGACGTACCTCCGCTGGCACTCCCAGGAGCCCACGAAAGTGGCGACAATTTCGCAGATCGCAACACCCCTGGGCACGGCGAGGTCTCTGGGTGATCTGCGTCGGACGTACCTCCGCTGGCACTCCCGCGAGCCCACGAAAGTGGCGACAATTTCGCAGATCGCAGCCCCCCAGGGGGCGGCGAGGTCTTGTGGTGATCTGCGCGTGACGTACCTCCGCTGGCCCTCCCAGGAGCCCACGAAGGTGTCGACGGTTTCGCAGATCGAACCCCCCCAGGGGACGGCGAGGTCTCGTGGTGATCTGCGTGGGACGTACCTCCGCTGGGCCTCCCAGAAGCCCACGAACGTGGTGACAGTTTCGCAGATCGCAGACCCCCCAGGGGACGGCGAGGTCTCGTGGTGATCTGCGTGGGACGTACCTCTATTGGCCCTCCCAGAAACCAACGACGGTGGCGACAGCTTGGCAGATCGCAGCCCCCCAGGGGGCGGCGAAGTCTCGTGGTGGTCTGCTTGGGCGTACCTCCGCTGGCCCGCCCAGAACCCCACGAACGCAGCGACCATTTTTCAGAGCGCAGCCCCCCCAAGGGCCAGCGAAGTCTCGTGGTGATCTGCGTGGGACGTACCTCCGCTGGCACTCCCAGCAGCCCACGAAAGTGGCGACAGTTTCGCATATCGAAGCCCCCCAGGGGACAGCGAGGTCTCGTGGTGATCTGCGTGGGACGTACCTCAGCTAACCCTCCCAGGAGCCCACGAACGCAGCGACAATTCCGCAGAGCGCAAGCCCCCACTGGACGGCGAGGTTTCGTGGTGATCTGCGTGGGACGTACATCCGCTGGCCATCTCAGCAGCCCACGGAAGTGGCGACAGTTTCGCAGATCGCAGCCCCCCAGGGGGCGGCGAGGTCTCGTGGTGATCTGCGTGGGACGTACCTCAGCTAACCCTCCCAGGAGCACGCGAAAGCAGCGACCATTTCGCAGATCGAAAGCCCCCACTGGACGGCGAGGTTTCGTCTTGATCCGCGTGGGACTTACATCCGCTGGACCTCCCAGAAGCCCACGGACGTGGCGACAATGTCGCAGATCGCAGGCCCCATGAGGACAGCGAGATCTGGTGGTGATCTGCGTGGGACGTACCTCCGCTGGCCCTCCCAGGAGCCCACGAACATGGCGATAATTTCGCAGATCGCAGCCCACCAGGGGACGGCGAGGTCTTGTGGTGATCTGCGTGGGGCGTACCTCCGCTGGCCCTCCCAGAAGCCCACGAAAGTGGCGACAATTTCGCAGATCGCAGCCCCCCAGGGGGCGGCGAGATGTCGTGGTGATCTGCGTGGGACGTGCCTCCGCTGACGCCCCCAAAATCCCACGTAAAGTGACGACATTTTCGCAGATCGCAGTCCCCCGAAGGGACGGCGAGGTCTCGTGGTGATATACGTGGGACGTACCTCCGCTGGGCATCCCACTAGCCAAAGAACATTCCGACATGTTCGAAGATCGCAGCCCCCAGGGTGCGGCGAGGTCTCGTGGTGATCTGCGTGGGACGTACCTCCGCTGGCCCTCCCAGCAGCCCACGAAAGTGGCGACGGCTTCGCAAATCGAAGCCCCCCCAGGGGACGGCGAGGTCTCGTGGTGATCTGCGTGGGGCGTACCTACGCTGGCCCTCCCAGAAGCCCACGAAAGCGGCGACAGTTTCTCAGATCGCAGCTCCCCAGGGGACGGCGAGGTCTTGTGGTGATCTGCGTGGGATGCACATCCGCTGGCCCTCCGCACCCACGAGAGCGGCGACGGTTTCGCAAATCGCAGCCCCCCAGGGGGCGGCGAGGTCACGAGGCAGGAAGGAGGAGGACGAACACCAGGAGGATGAGAAGGAGGAGGACGAGGAGGAGAGGGAGGAGGAGGAGAGGGAGATGGGGCAACACAGTGAGTGCACTTTTTCAGAACGAGTACCAAACTGTCAGTGATTACCCGGGGACGTACCCAACCCTTTTAAGCATGTGGATCGCTCAATAAAAAAACAACATTGAATGATTCGCAATGCCCTTGGACGCTTCGTCAAAGAACGCTGGGCCAAACTCCGATGTTTGGCATATGCAATATGCGGCGTCACTCTTAAGAGTTCAGTCGTTGGCAAGCAAGCAACCACGAGGGGGCGTGGAAACATGTGGAGGGAGACGAAACATAATTCGCGGGAGGAGCAGCGCCTTGCGCTGTGTTCGCATTGCAGGACAGCGCTATGTGCGCAATGACTGTACAGCGCCTTGCGCTAAACGTAGCATGTGCCCGCACGCATTACAAACAACAGGCAACTGAAGAAAGGATGCGGCATGGGCAACGGACAGTGCCATGCGTTCTTCGTTGCGCGGCGCTCGCACACGCCGCGTCACGCCGCTGGCCCTCCCAGAAGCCCCCGAAACTGGCAACAGTTTCGCAGATCGCAGGCCTCCCAGGGGACGGCGAAGTCTCGTGGTGATCTGCATGGGACGTAACTCCGCTGGCCCTACCAGGAGCCCACGAACATGGCGACAGCTTCGCAGATCGCAGCCCCCCAGGGGACGGCGAGGTTTTGTGGTGATCCGCGTGGGACTTACATCCGCTGGCCCTCCCAGAAGCCCACGAACGTGGTGACAGTTGAGCAGATCGCAACCCCCTAAGGGACGGCGAGATCTCGTGGTGATCCGCGTATGACGTACCGTACGTCGACGAAATGTTGCACCACTTTGGCCGCGCATTGTCAGCTGTATTGGATTGCTCCTTCCCCCCCCTCCCCCTGATCTTACTATTGGGCACATGGCAAAGGTCCCTTGGCGCCCCCCAGGGCTCGCGACAGAATGTTGCACCACCGAGCCGTTTCGATGAACCCGGGACCGCAGTCAATGTTAAGATTGGGGGGAGGGGGGGGTGGAAGCGAACATCCATTGCAACATCGGCTTGCTTTCTTGACATCACCAGGTGGTGCAACATTTTGTCGATGTACCGTACCTCCGCTGGGACTCCCAGAAGCCCATGAAAGTCCCGACAGTTTCGCAGATCGCAGCCCCCCAAGGGGACGGCGACGTCTCGGGGTGATCCGCGTGGGACGTACCTCCGCTGGCCCCCCCAGCAGCCCATGAAAGTGGCGACAATTTCGCAGATCGCAAGCCCCCACTGGACGGCGAGGTCTCGTGGTGATCTGCGTGGGACGTACCTCCTCTGTCCCTCCCAGGAAGTAACCAAAGTGTCGACAATTTCACTGATCGCAGCCCCCGCTCCCCGCAGGGGACGGAGAGGTCTCGTGGTGATCCGCGTGTGACGTACCTCCGCTGGGCCTCCCAGAAGCCCACGGAAGTGGCGACATATTCGCAGATCGCAGGCCTCCCAGGGGACGGCGAGGTCTCGTGGTGATCTGCGTGGGACGTACGTCCGTTGGGCATCCCAGAAGCCCACGAAACTGGCAACAGTTCCGAACATCGCAGCCCCCCCAAGTGACGGCGAGGTCTAGTGGTGATCCGCGTATGACGTACCTCTGCTGGGCATCCCAGAAGAACGCGAAAGTAGCGACAGACTCGCAGATCGCAACCCCCCAAAATGACGGCGAGGTCTCGTAATGATCCGCGTGTGACTTACCTCCGCTGGGCCTCTCAGAAGCCAACGAAAGTGGCGACATATTCGCAGATCGCAGCCCCCCAGGGGACGACGATGTCTCGAGGTGATCTGCGTAGGACGTACCTCCGCTGGCACTACCAGCAGCCCACGAAAGTGGCGACGGTTTCGCTGATCGCAGCCCCTCAGGGGACGACGAGGTCACGAGGCAGGGAGGAGGACGAAGAACACGAGGAGGAGGATAATGGAGGGAGGAAGGAGGAGGTGGAGGAGGAGGAGGAGGAGAGGGGAAGGAGGAGAATGAGGAGCAGCAGGAGGAGGAGGAGGAGGAGGAGGAGGAGGAGAAGGTGGAGACCGCAGTGCTCTATTCAAAACGAGTGCCCAGCACAGGAGGGCTGGGAATAATCGAAAAATCGTCCCCATCCTATCTCTCAACTCGTTTTGCACACTCCTCCTGTAGAGGGACAGGCCCGACTTGACCCAAAAAGGCGGCAGGGGTAACACAAACATGACTCAAACATGCTCGCGCCGTGAAACCATCACGACGGAGGGTTCTCGGCCGTTTTCCGCCTCCAGGGGCCCTCGCGGGGCCCCGGTGCCGTCCCAATAAAACGACTCGGAATTGAGAGCGGGCCTTTGGGGAAACGGCACCGCGTATTGAAAAAGCCAAGACGTCGCACGTCTGGGGATAATCAGCACGAACTTTCGGAGGCCCGCGCGGATCTCTTGGGTCGGTCCAGCGCCGACCCCAGAACTCCGCGCGGGCCCACGGACATTGATGCTTGTGCTGTCTTCTCTTCGGCGTGAGGGAAAGGGGCCCCGAGGAAAGTGGGTTCTGCACCCCACCAGCTTCCACCAGGACCACACTTCCGTCCTGAGTGATTTCTGATGGACCTGAGGTCCGTGGAGGGCCCCAGAAGCCTGAGACCTCGAACAAAAACCTCACGGCCCGTTCCCCAGAGGACCCGCTTACTTCGTGGCGATCCTCATGGAATGGACTGCAGTCGATCCCAGGCCAGAAGAACATCCCTCAAGAACATGAGACCCCCCGCAGGAAGAAACACATAGAGCATCGAAGGGTACCTAGAAGAAGACAAACGGCACAAACATGAACTTTCGACGGCCCGCGCGGATCCAAGCCATCCGCGCGGAGCGCCAAGAAGTTTATGTGTATGCCGCTGTTTGGCCTTCGAAGGGTGCATCATCACAGCGTGGAAGCACGAAGAACATCAGGGGCACCCTCCCCGAAGCGACCTCGATCTCATGCCTCCTGGTCTGGCTAGATACATGTCCGACACGATGGGTCGGCCTCCTCCGGCCCCACGGGGGAAGCGCTGCCTGTCCCGGGCGAGCGCTTCGGGCATGGCGCTCTTCGAGGCCTGGACGAAGCCCGTCCCAGATCCAGGATTCCCAAAAAACATAAATCGAATTCAAAAAACTTGCTCTGGAATCCACAATTCGCGTGCTTTCTCTGATGCGGGCAAGTTTTCTTGCGCGGCGTTCGCCCCCCCCCCCCCCCCCTCTCGCCCCTCTCCAAACGAACGCTAGCGTGCAAGCGCCTTTCGACTTGCTTGCCTTCCGGACGCGCAAATCGTTTGCCGCTTGCTTCAGGCTCAGGCCCCCCCCCCATCCGCGAATGCAAGCAAACTTGCCCGGGCCTGAGAAAAAACAAGCTCAAAACTGGCATTCTGAATTCCATCAATCTGGCCCCCAGAATTCAAGAAACCACTCGAAGGGCAGATCCCTCGGATCGATCATCTTGCCAGGGCGAGACCTCGTGCATGGAGCGCGCGATCTCCTCGTCGAAGCACCCCGCCCGCTGCCGGAGCTCGTCGACCTCGGAGTGGAGGTAGTGCAAGTCCTGCGCCGGACTGCCGCCCGCGCGCACGCGGGCGGCGCCGCCCAGCGCGCGGGCCACCTGGCCCTCCAGCTGCTGCAGGCCGCCGCTGATCTCCTCCAGCCCGCGGATGCTGCCAGAGAGGCTGCCAGCGATCTCTCTGGATGCTCGGGTCGGGCGATGAGGGGGGGATAGCAAAGGGGGGGGGTTGAGAATCAGCTCGAGTAGCTGATTCTCCCGGCGCCTCCCAGCGCCGAAGGCGGCCATGTATCGAGGAATGGGCCCCTCGGTGAGGCCGAAACCAGCTGCACGCAGCAAATTTCGAACCCCCCCCTTTCCCAATCCCCCCTTTCGCCCCGCCCGAGATGCGCACTCCAGCTGGGCGACGGTCCTCTCCAGACTGGCGACCTGCGCCTCTCGCAGACCCTGCTCCTGCGGCCGAGCACGACATCTCGCAAGACTATCTGTAAGCTGTTGCCGCACCCGCTTCGGACCATTACCATTATTGGAACTGGCCTCCAGCCAGGGCTGCCACGTCACACCAGCCGTCTGGGCGCCAGTGGCTCTGCGTGACAGCTCCTCCGAAACAGGCCCTCTTTCCCTGTCGGGGATATCCCATCCCCCGGGGTCCAGACGGGGAGGGTGGGGGCGGGGCAGTTCGTCAGAGTGTCCACAGATGGCCCTGCATGTCTCCAAGATGATCGACGCGGCTCCCTCCCAAGATCGCGCGAACCTGCCCCCAGCGCTTTGCCCACGACGGCCTGCAGAGCACTCCTGCAGAAGAATCCGAAAGGAGGTCTCGAGATGCTCCGAGATGGTCCCCGAGCGTCCCGATGATAGCCCCAGATGCGGAAGTGCTTGGTTGATGAAGCTCCACGGCGAGCGGTATGTGAAGGCAAGGCGCTTCACAAACTACGCGACGCGGGGCAGTGCGAGAGGGAATTGCCGAGCAAGCGCGCAGGAGGCGCGCTGCGCCTCCAGGGCACCGCGAAAGTATCGAGTGTGTTCGCCTTCTCGAAAATTCGGGCCTCCGACGGGCCTCCGCGGCCCGAGGATGGCGCTGGGCAGGCCCACCCTGGCCACACGAGGAGCACACGACTCGCAAAGATGCAAAAGGGCCATCAAAGCCCCCACGCATCCTCGGCGGCCAGCGAGGGGGGTAAGTGGAAGGGGCGGGCCTTCCGAAGTCCCCAGACCTTCTGACAAGTCTTCTCCGCCTTCCCCGAAGACGCACAAAAACTTCTCAGAAGGCGCGAGGGCTTCTGAGAAGTCCCGCCACCTTCTGAGAAAGCCTTCTCCTTCTCACTTCCCCCCCTCGCTCGCCGCCGACACCCGCAAGAAAATCCTAAAAAGAGTCCCAAGGGGCGCTGCTCCAGGATCCTCGGCGAGTCCACGGGAGCCCAGAATGGCCCTCAGAGAGCGACACCGGAGCCCCGAGGGCTCCCAGGTCTTCAGATAGGCTCCCAACAGCTGGCACGGGGGCTCAAGCTGGCAGCTTTGGGAGGATGCTTGCACTGATCCCCCCTTTGTGGATTCAGAGGTGCCCTTCCTACCCCGCCCTGTTCGCGGCAGCTCGCCCAGGAATTGCTCCTGGACGAGCAGGTGGGAAGACGAGAAGGGTCGATTATGGACCCAAGATGCGCATAGAAGAATTAGCCTGGCGAAGGACCCAGCCATATGCAGTTGTGACTGACGCAGTTGTGGGTATCGTCTTCGGTGGAGCTCTCTATGGGGCCACGACACGTGTGAGGGGTGTGCCGAAATTGGCAGCGGGGACGCATGCGACCACCGCCACTGGGGCCTTCGGTGGAGCTCCCTGTGGGGCCACGAAACGTGCGAGGGGTGTGCCCGAATGGGTGGCGGGGACGCGTGCGAACAACGCCACTGGAGCCTTCGGTGGAGCTCCTTTGGGGTCACGAAACGTGTGCGGGGTGTGCCGAAAGGGGGTGGCGGGGACGCACGCGAGCACCGCCACTGGGGCCTTCGGTGGAGCTCACTGAGCTCCTTACAGGGCCACGTGTGAGGAGTGTGCCGAAATGGTTGGCGGGGACGCATGCGAGCACCACCACTGGGGTCTTGGGTGGAGCTCCCTAGAAGGGCCACGAAACGTGTGCGGGATGTGCCGAAATGGGTGGCGGGAACGCATGCGAACACCGCCGCTGAGGCCTTCTATGGAGTTCCCTGTGGGGCCACGAAACGTGCGAGGGGGGTGCCGAATTGGGTGGCGGGGACGCATGCGAGCACCGCCACTGGAGCCTTCGGTGGAGCTCCCTATAGGGCCGCGAAACATGTGAGGGATGTGCCGAAATGGGTGGCGGGGACGCATGCGAGAACCGCCACTGGGGCCTTCGGTGGAGCTCCCGGTGGGGCCACGAAACGTGCGAAGGGTGTTCCGAAATGGGTGGCGGGGACGCATGCGAACACCGCCACTGGAGCCTTCGGTGGAGCTCCCGGTGGGGCCACGAAACGTGTGAGAGGTGTGCCGATATGGGTGATGATGATGATGATGATGATGATGATGATGATGATGATGATGATGATGATGATGATGATGATGATGATGATGATGAGGATGATGATGATGGTGATGATGATGATGATGATGATGATGATGATGATGATGATGATGATGGGAGGAGGGAGGAGGAGAGGAGATGAGAGGAGGAGAGGAACGCGGGGACCGTCTCTTCAAAACGAGGACCCAACACCACAGGATGGGTTGGAAAAAGAGCTTGACCTTTACGGATCGGAGCCCACAGAGAAAATCCTAACGCCTGCAATATTTGCTCTGTACTTTCGCCCAGCACGCAGCAACGAAGAACGCCTCGCTTCGATCAGCTGGGCATCCTTCCCGTCCTCCTCCCCTCCTATCTCTTCGCATCCCATCCCTCCTCCTCTCCCCTCCATCCTCTCCCTCCCTCTTCCGTCCTCCATCCTCTTCTCATCTTATCCCTCTCCTGGTCCTGCTCCTCCTCGGGGGGAGCAACAAGTACCGATACCCAGACCCATCGCGGTGTGCGCTCTGACCGGGACCTCGCGGCGAGTCCAGCCGTGGCGACGACGGACCCCCGGGCAGCCCAGGAAGACGAAAGCGAGGGAAAGCCAGCGGCATCGGCACGTGTGGCCGTGTCTTCTCGAGCTCCTGCGTGATGAGCTCCAGAGCCCGCCCGGAGAGCGCCATCTGCTCGTCGAAAAGCCGCCTCTGCCTCGTATCGCAATCCTCCCGGGCCGAGAGTGCTGCATAGCTAGAGGGGGGAAGATAACTCAGCAGAAAGGAAGCGAAGGGGCCCAGGGACACAAATCAGTAGGCACAAATCCCAGGACTCCCCATATTGTCTCACATGTTCTGGATTTTCGTCTTCCCCCCCACACTTCCAAAATGTTTCCACATTTTTCCCTGAGAATAGTCGATTCATTGTGTCCGTGTGTTCTTCTCCCCGCCTGATAATTTAGAAGAAAGGAGGCACGTCCTGGAAGAAGGGATATCCTGGGGACTGCTCGCCGCTTTTTTGGGGGGCCCCTATCGGACCTCCGATCCTGGGGACAAAATCCCTGGGGTCCGAGACGAGTCCTGACCAGGACCCCTTTTCCTTCTCGGCGGAGCGGTGGAACCCGACACGACTTCCTCCTACCTCCTCCTCCTCCCTTTTCCCTCTCCTTGCTCCTCCCTCCCTCCTCCTCCTCCGCCTCCTCCGCCTCCTCCTCCTCCTCCTCCTCCTCCTCCTCCTCCTCCTCCTCCCCTCCCCTCGCTCTCTCCCTCCCCCCTCCGCCCCCCCTCCTCCCTCCTCCCCTCTCCTCCATCCTCCTATCCATCCCTCATTCCCTCCCTCACTCCCTGAGGCTCGCCGTCGAGGCGACATCGGATCGGTCTGCACCTGCGTCAAATCGAAACATCAGCATCGAATCGGAACCGGGCGCGCTCGCGTCGGATCGGAGCCGTCAGATCGGAGTTGACACCGACAGGCTCTCGACCTCGGCGGCACTGCCTGCAGAGACGAAGGCGAGACACGCGAGCGCGTCGTCGGGCCCCGCGGGTTCCCGAGCATGGCCAACATCGGCGCGTGCCCCCCCCCCCCCCCCAGAGGAAAACAACACAAAAGACAATGGGCGCGTGCCCCCCCCAGAAAAGTAAGTCGGCGGGTGCCCCCCCTCCAAAAAAGAAGAAGAAGAGGAAGAAGAATAAGAAGAATAATCAGACAAACTACGGGAAGCCGGTGCTGTGCCATGCTCGGTCCCTGGGCCGTCCTGGCGGCGGCATCTTGGCTTCGGGGGTCCCTGGGGTTCTCGTGTCAGCCTCGGTGGCCATCCTTGTGGCAGGAGTGCGCTGGGGAATGGTGGCGGGGGTCGCTCCGCGCGGGGACACGTTCCGGGCAGGACCGCAGCACGCACCTCGATCACGACGACGCCGTGGGGCCGGAGGATCGCGCATCGATCCTGCGGTCCACACCAGGTTCCACATCGATCTGCATCGCCGATGCATTGGCGATGCGGCGCGATCCTTCGACCCCATCTAGTTACTCGGACGACATTCGGGAGGCCTGGAGCGTAAGGTCCGCACCGAAGCAAGGATCTGGGAAAGGACCCCGCACCGCGGGTCCTGGTGCACAGCGCATCGTTGAGCGGAGCCGCATGTGGCCTCCCCGAGCACAGGCAGCGCCCCCCCTCTCCCTCCCAGGAGCAGCTGGCAGACATCACGGGTCTGCAACTTCGTGCCATGAGCGTGCTGATCATCTGGCCGGTTGTGGTGCCAGTGGGGTCGTCTGTGGCCTGGCCGATTCACACCGCTGGGCGAGCCCATCGAGCAATGTCTGGCGAACTAGAAGCAGGCGACCCCTGCTCATTTTCATTCCTCGCACCCTCGTGCCTTGCTGAACCTGGGGGGCGCGTCTCGACATCCCCTCTCCACAAACGTCGCCAGGGCCACCAGCAAAGGGATTTGGCGGATGTGGTCAAGACGCGCCGCACGGCTGAAAAACTCTGAGCGCCGCCGATGGAGAAGGGGGCGGAGGAGAAGGAAGGAGAAAAGAGGAGTGACGAGGGTTCAGGAGGTGCGAAGCTGAGAAGTGGGACAGAGAATTCAGAGGGAAGCGTGAAGAGGGAGGATGGGGAAGAGGAGGAAGAGGAGGGAGGGACGAGGAAATAACACTATAAGGGGGAGGAAGAGGAGGAGCAGGAGGAGTAGGAGGAAGCGGATGCGGATGAGGACGGGGATGAGTATGATGATGCTAATTATGATGCTGATGATGATGATGATGAGGAGGAGGAGGTGGTGGTGGTACTCAACATCTGGTCACCTCTGCATCTCTCGATTCATTTCCTGCGCACTCACATAGACCGCTGTGCGCTTAGACGGGGGAGGGGCCCCTCAAGCGAGTTACAAGCAGGCCCCGCCTGCCACGACTGGTTATCCAAACAGAAGGGGCATGGATAAAGTTAGGGTCCGAACATGACATGGTCAAAGGCACGGGTTCGAAGAGCGAGAAGTAAGACGTCTCAGCTCGCACGCACACACAGGAAGAAGGCAAGGGAGAGGGACAGCGAGAACACGGAGGACCCACACAGCACAGGAGGACACGAAGGGCAGAGGAAACAAGAAGGCGGAGGCAGGCGGAGAAAAGTCCAGTGATTAAACAAAGGGCCTCAACACGTAGGCCAAATCTCAACCGTTACCTGCCCTGCAAATGGCGACAAACAACACGATTCGAAGCATGCACGTGTTACGCTCCTCCGCTGCTTGCAACTGTCACTGCTATATCGTTGCTGGCAACACGAGCATAATTAGGCAGGCACGCTCATCAGTTCACACTCAGGCTGTGGAGCAATCGTTCCCCATCATGAGGATCATCATTCTCCATATCAGTAGTCTCATTGTCTCGCGCGTCGTCGTCCATATTGTCGCTAATATGATACCCGCTGCAAGACTTGAGCGAGACGGACAATAAAGGAGCTGAAGATCCGTTCAACGATTGCTTCATCCCTGATCCTCGCCCTGCCAAACGCAGGGAGTATGGCGAAGGCACTCTGCCCTGATTTGTCCAGGCGTACCAATCTGCTGATCTTCTGGAAGCTGACCTGCAACTGGGACCGCTGCTCTGGGTTCAGAATCGGCATCGGAGTAGTTTGTTGTATAAACGCAGCTCGTTCGGGGGCAATTTGCCACAAAACTTCTGCACATAGATCGACGGCCCGCTCCCGAACAGTAGTTGACCAGCTAATGGTACGGAGAAGTTGAGCCCGACGGAATTATTCAACCATCGCTGGAAAACACGAGCCCCTCCAATTCATCCGCGCAAGGCGTCGTCCTCATAATGAACAGTGATACCCCACATCGCAGCCAATGAAATGTGGTATAAAACCAGTCGCTGTCTGACCTAATCCACTTCTTCTAGAACAGATCAGCGTGGCATCTGTATTTGTATTTGTTGCAGGGAGTTGCCCAGCGGTAGATTTACCTGCGCACCCTCCTGAGAGCACGATTTAGGCTCACCTTGAGGAAGATGCCATTGATCCAGCAGCAGTTCAAATGGAACGAGAAGCGCAGGGAGACAATGATATGACGACGCCGGAGTGGTTAGCATCCCTGGTGTCCCTGCCCACGCCCCTGGAATGCACATCAGGCCAGGCGGGGAATACGCCTGGCAATTGATGTACAACTCGGGCTTTTGAACAAGTCTGGCCCATCCAAGCAAGCATCTTCGCCACCGTCTTCTGACATGTGATCACTTCTAGAGCTACTTTCGGGCGAACGGGTAAACATGCAACCAGCAGTAGCAAGTTAAGGCGGCCTGATCGTAGCTCAACTGCACCAGGTCCCCCTTGTGGTGCGGGTGGCGGGTGAATCTGAGCAGCGTGTCGAAGTCGAAAGGGTCGCTTACGAAGCCTAATCTGAATACCAGTGTGCAACGAAACGAGCGGGTCTGTGCCGTATCCCCCTATTCACGATATGCGCATGCAAGTGGGGATTGGTCGTACAAGTACCGTATGTAAACACTGCGGAACCACCATATAGGACGGCACGAGTACTCATGTCAAGAATTTCCTGCTCACGAATCATGGCCTCCGCGTGCAGTTTCAGCTGCTCGTCCCATTCGTCCTGGTCCAAGTACCGAAATAACTGCATCCACTCGGAGAATCCTCGTCGAGCGTTGCGCCTGGATGTAAAGGCACGCCGACAGAACTTGATCGCCGTGTCCACTGCAGCTGTGCCCACGTTGTCATGACCATCCCGAGCTGCTCGCTCAGCCGCCAGCGGTTGGAATGCGGCTTATGCCAAGAGGTGAACAACGTACGGCCGCTCCGGGTCCGCGTCCTTCAGAAAGAGGGACCTTGTTGCGGGCACTGCCAGGACTCGAGATCCGCCAAATTCCACCAGGCGCGGAGAGAGCAACTACACCTGATTCCTCCCCTGCATCACCAAGCTCATGCTACAGTGCACCGAGGACAAAGTACAGCACATTGAGAGAGAAAACAAAGACATGTGCGGGCCGCGCGCCGTGGCAGACGGTTGCCTGAATGGAGGGGGAAGGGAGCGCTGGGTAGGGAGGTACACACGGCCCCGTGGCCGCGCAGGATGTGTGAAGAGGCCTGTGCCAGGGCGGCTGGAGGAGGGGGAGGAGGAGGAGGAGGAGGAGGAGGATGAGGAGGAGCATCAGGAGGAGGAGAAGGGGGAGGAGGAGGAGGAGGAGGAGGAGGAGGAGGAGGAAGGGAGGAGGAGGAGGAGGAGGAGGGAGGAGGAGGAGGAGTGGAGGAGGAGGAGGAGGAGGAGGAGGAGAGGAGGATAGGAGGAGGAGGAGGAGGAGGAGGAGGAGGAGGAGGAGGAGGCGGAGGCGAGGCGGATGAGGACAGAGGAAATCATGGGAGAGTGACGAGGGGGAGTGAGGGGGAACGAGGACGAGAGATAACGAGGACGACGACGAGGAGGAGTGAGACGAGGGCCTGAGGACCGAGGAGAGAAAAGGAGCCCCTCCCTGCACGCACTTCTCCGCCCAGTCCTCGACAAGGTGCTCGAGGGCGCTCAGGCGCTCGCCGACTGGGCCATCCTCTGCGCTGCGCCCCCCGGCCGCGGCCGGGCGCTCGCCGAGGAGCTCGACCGCGCTCAGCCGGTCGCCGTGCAGCTGCAGGGTGCTCCGCCACCTGTCCTGCGCCCCTCCGAGGCGGTCCAGCCTCTCGCCCAGCTCCTCCAGGGCGGCGTCCAGGCGCCCGCGCAGCCGGCAGGCCTCCGAGCTCTGCGCTTCCCCGCCCAGCTCCACCCGCCGCTCCAGCGAGGCCAACCGCGCGCCCAGCGCGCTGGCGTCGGGCGCGGGTGCCTCAGCGGCCCTCTCCTGGAGCGTCTCCTCCACCCGCCGCTCCAAGGTGGCCAGCCGGGTGCCCAGCGCACTGGCGTCGGGCGCCTCGTCCAGCCGCCGCTGGAGCGAGGTCAGCCGGGTGCCCAGCGCGCCAGCGTCGGGCGCCTCCTCCATCCGCCGCTGGAGCGAGGTAAGCTTTGCAACCAACGCGCCAGCGTCTGGCGCCTCCTCCATCCGCCTCTCCAGCGAGGTCAGCCTCGAAACCAACGCGCCAGCGTCGGGCGCCTCCTCCATCCGTCTCTCCAGCGAAGACAACCGCGTGCCCAACCCGCCAGCGTCGGGCGCTGGTGGCACAGAGGCAATTTCCTGAAGAGTCTCCTCCACCCGCCGCTCCAGGGTGGCCAGCCGGGTGCCCAGCGCACTGGCGTCGGGCGCCTCGTCCAGCCGCCGCTGGAGCGAGGTCATCCGCGCACCCAGCGCGCCAGCGTCGGGCGCCTCCTCCATCCGCCTCTCCAGCGAGGTCAGCCGCGCGCCCAGCACGCTGGCGTCATGCGCTGGTGCCTCAACGGCCCTCTCCTGGAGCGTCTCCTCCACCCGCCGTTCCAGAGTAGCTAGCCGAGTGCCCAACGCACTGGCGTCGGGCGCCTCATCCACCCGCCGCTGGAGCGAGGTCAGCCGTGCACCCAGCGCGACAGCGTCTGGCGCCTCCTCCATTCGCCTCGAGAGCGTTTTGTTTACTCCCCGGGAGTAGCGTCCATTACCCTGGGGGTGAGGGCACAAGGGGGGGGCACGGTGACGAGGGGGGCGGCGGGTTAATGGCGGCGGCGCCCGTGCAAGTTTATATCCGTGCCATCAGGGACGACCATGTTCGAGACGACGACGGACGACGACGACGACGACGACGACGACGACGACGACGACGAACGACGACGACGACGACGACGACGACGACGGCGACGACGACGACGACGACGGACGACGACGACGACATCGTCCAGACGCATCCGTAGGCCCTCGGAACTCTCTCTGGAGGCCCCTGGAGGCCCGTAGGCACTCGAAGGTCAGTAATAGCATAACAACACCACATCAATGTACACACCAGCGCGGAGAACAATTAACACAAAAGTTTGCGAGCGGCAGAACATGCCGATGACCACAGCAGTGAGCCTGCAAGAGCAACGTGCCTGTGAGCACCGCAGTGAGTGCTCACCTCGCCACTGGCTTGTGTCGCTGGTGTGCCCAGGCTTTGGGGGACAAGCGGCGTGGGGCACCAGGCCTGCGCGACCACCCTACTTCGGAAACGCAGATATATGCAAAAAGCCTTTGGAAGGTCTAGGTTTTGGTCGGGCATGTCTTCCAACAGGCAGAATTTGGAAGACAAATAGAAACAGTCAAAGCATTCAGAAATAGTCAACATAGTTTTAAAACAATCGTCCCCATATGATTGTTTGGACTATTTTTCGAATATTCCTCGTGTAGAGGTCGGGACGATTGTTTGCGTCTGAGTCGGAACGATTGCTACAGCATCAAGCCAATCAGCTCTGCGATCTTAGATGCCCGCCGAGGCCAGGATTCAGGGTCTGGGAAAGGAGGAGAAGGAGAAGGATGAGGAGGGGGAGGGGGAGGGAGAGGGGGAGGAGGAAGAGGAGGAGGAGGAGGAGGAGGAGGAGGACGACGAAGAGGAGGAGGACGGAGGAGGAGGAGGAGGAGGAGGAGGAGGAGGAGGAGGAGGAGCAGGAGGAGCAGAAGGAGGAGGAGGGCTGCCTTGATGGACCATCACCTCTTGGGCCTGTTTGCACCGGTGGCGGCTTCTGGGGCATGCAAAAAATTCCACAGGGGCCTCTGGAGGCCTCGGGAAGTCGACATCGCTGTCTTCTTCATTCCTCCTCTCTCCTCCTCCTCCTGCTCCTCCTCCTCCTCCTCCTCCTCCTCCTCCTCCCCCTCCTCCTCCCTTCCTCCTCCTCCCCTCCTCTTCCCCCTCCTCCTCCTCCTCCTCCTTCTCCTCCTCCGGCTCCTCCTCCTCCTCCTCCTCCTCCTCCTCCTCCTCCTCTCATCCACCCTCTTCCATGCCCTCTTGTCTCTATCCTCGGTGTCCGAATGCTGCTGGAAGGCCCTGTGCGGATGAGATGGCATCCACATCAACTTGCCCTCGCTCGTCGCTAGGTTGGGGGGCGGCGCCCTGTCCACGAATATCTTCACGTCAACTACGACGCTGCTCAGTCCCGCGATATCCTGCGAGCACCCTCGCGTAGCAATGCCGCGTCACGTAGGCGCCACAGCGTGCCTGAGAGCACCGGCAATACGCCCAGGAGCACCAGAGCGCCACGCGGGCCAACACAGGTCCTGAGAGCACCAGGGCACCGCCGGCGCGGCATGCCTGCGAGCACCACAGGTGCGCCAGCGCGCCCTGCGAGCACTGCAATGGTGCACGGGCACCGCCGCACGTGTTGTTGCTTGCACGGTCACCACGGCATGCCAAGTGCGTGACCACCGCGCAACAGCCTGCGAGTGCAACCGCATGCGTGCGAGCGTAATGCGGTGGTCGCCCCCCCTCCCCGTGCGATCAGATCGTGACCGATACGGCGGGGGGGAAGCAGGGGGAATGGGGGGCACTGATGTTGCCCCTCAAGGAATAGAAAAACAGGCTCCTCTCAAGCGAGGTCAGCCGCGCGCCCAGCGCGCCGGCGTCTGGCGCCTCCTCCGCCCGCCGCTCCAGAGAGGCCAGCCGCGCGCCGAGCGCGCCAGCGTCGGGCGCTGGCGACTCCGCGGCCCTCTCCTGGAGCGTCTCCTCCACCCGCCGCTCCAGAGTGGCCAGCCGGGTGCCCAGCGCACTGGCGTCGGGCGCCTCGTCCAGCCGCCGCTGGAGCGAGGTCAGCCGGGTGCCCAGCGCGCCAGCGTCGGGCGCCTCCTCCATCCGCCTCTCCAGCGAGGTCAGCCGCGCGCCCAGCGCGCCGGCGTCTGGCGCCTCCTCCGCGCGCCGCTCCAACGAGGTCAGCCGCGCGCCGAGCGCGCCAGCGTCGGGCGCCTCCTCCATCCGCCTCTCCAGCGAGGCTAGCCGTACGCCCAGCGCGCCAGCGTCGGGCGCCGATGGCACAACAACCCTCTCCTGGAGCGTCTCCTCCACCCGCCGTTCCAGAGTAGCTAGCCGAGTGCCCAGCGCACTGGCGTCGGGCGCCTCGTCCAGCCGCCGCTGGAGCGAGGTCAGCCGTGCACCCAGCGCGCCAGCGTCGGGCACCTCCTCCATCCGCCTCTCCAGCGAGGTCAGCCGCGCGCCCAGCGCGCCGGCGTCGGGCACCAGCGACCCAGCGGCCCTCTCCTGGAGCGTCTCCTGAACTCGGCCCTCGAGTGCCGCCATGCGCTTGTCGAGCGCCCTCCCTCGCTCGCCCAGGGCGGCCGCCTCCTGTTCGAGCGCCTCCTGGATCCTGCGGTCCGAGGCCTCCAGGCGCCGCTCGAGCGCCTTGCCCTCGCGGTCCAGGGACTCCTGGGCGCGCAGCTCGAACGCCTCCGCGCGCCTCTCGAGCGCTTCGCTCCGCTCCGTGCGGGAGCTGAGCTCCTGCTCGAAGGCGTCCTGCAGCCTCCGCTCCACGCCGTCCAGGCGCCTCTCCAGCACCTCTGGGACAGCACAACAAACAAACGGCACCGCTGTCTTGTTTACGTTGGGCAAACCGGGACCGACTGGGATTACTGTGTACAGTGTCAGGGTGGTAAACTAGCGGCACAGTGGTGGAACAACCGACTTAGGCGTTGTTGCCATCAAATTAGACATGGGTGAGCGCAGCATGACACAAGAAGGCAACGCATAAAGAAAAGAGGCCCGCAAGGGCATAAATATGCGCCCACATGGTCGATGGCCGCTTCTCCCCAGACCTCCCCTGGGGTGCGGTCCGACTCGGATTTTGAGGTATGTTGCTCCCATCGTGAGGACCACATCCCAGAAATAATTCCGAGCACCCAGACAAGTATCGAAACAGTGTCGAACGAGTGTCACCTTCCAGGGCCCGACGCGCGAAAACCCTCCAGCTTCGGTGCGCTCTTGGTGCTCGAAATCCTTTCTCGTGGTCAAAGCTAACAGTAGGTTGGAACATCATAAATTACACCAGAGAAAAAGCCTCAATCTGTGGATGGTTTGCAATGGGATCGATCGGAAGAGTGACAAAGAAATCGACCGGGAACCCGGGAACCCAAAACCCACCGAATCGGCCCCGAACCAATAACCAAGACCCCGGGAAACCGGAACCAGGAACCCAGGAGCCCAGCAGGCCACCCAAATCGGCAGGGAATCTTTCGCCAAATCTTGCAATTTCCGCCAGGACCCCTTCAGTGCAAGCACCGACTGGGGCCTCTTGACGTGAATCCAGCCGGCGCCTGGGCCTCCCACGGCCCAGGCGCGGCGGAAACGGGGCAAGGGCAGCGGAGCGACGGCACGCCCGAGCGGCGGCCTGTGGTGCGTGACGCTCGGGCGCGCCACCGCCCCGGGGGGCTCGACCCCCTACCGATGGGCCTCGGGGGCAGTATGGTCCATATGAGAAGAAGAAGAAGAAGAAGAAGAAGAAGAAGAAACGCCACAAACATAAACTGTTGGCGCTCCGCGCGGATTTCTTGGATCTGCGCTGGGACCCCCACCGCGGCGCCGCCCCTGGCGCGCTCCGCGAGCCAGGGAGGGGAGCCCAGCGCAGATCCAAGAAATCCGCGCGGAGCGCCAGAAATTCATTGAAGGGGCCCCAGGGCACATAAATAAATACACACAAATAAACACATTCCCCATATTGTCCCTATATTTTCTGTGTTTTTGTCTCCCCCCCCACTTCCCATACTTTCCCATATTTTCCTGGGACTCGACGATTCATTGTGTCTGTGTTTTTCCCCCTCCTGATTTATGCTTGTGGCGTTTTCTCCTCTTCGACCCTTTTGGGCCCCCACTTCCCTGGCTTATGGCGTTTTTTGGAGGCCTGGAGATTGGCACCAACACCAGCACAGGGGGTTGCCTCCACATGGGGAAGATGATCCTAGATTCCGGTGTTGGTGGTAATATCTCGGTCACTCTGGAAGCCAGAACATTACCACATTCGCCGAGATCGGGATCGTCTTCCCTCGGTGGAGGCACACCGCCGATCTTGGTGTTGGTGTCAACCTCTGGGCCTGCGAGTTTTTTCTTCCTCGACCCTTCTTGGGCCCCCCCCGCCCCCGAGCCTCGCCCTTGGCGGCCAGGGCGCCGGCCCAGGCGCCGGGCTGCTCGGGGGCCTCCTGCGCCCGCCGCTCCAGGGCGCCCAGCCGCCGCTCCAGCGCGTCTCCTCGGGCGGCGTGCGCCTCGGCGGCCTCTCGCGGCGCGCGGCTTTTTCCCCCGGGGCCGTGGGCGACCCCTAAGATTTTAGGAGAAAAAAACAAACCTACCTCGTTTTTGACCACCCTCGCTTCCAAGAGATACCAGACGATGCCAAATTGCAGCCTGTACTGGTCAGGCGGCTTGACGAGGAGGCGCGTGGTATGGCTTGGTTTTGCCTGGAAGCGAAAGCGGGGTAGGTAATTCACGCTCTGAGATTTGGACGCCCGAAATGGGTACGGAAAGAACGGGTACGATGCCCAGCAGCAGTTCCTGCTCTTTTTGAGCAGGGCTCGCTGTCCGCGCCGCCGCGGCCTGTGTCCATTTGAAACGGGAGGCCTCCTGCCCAACAGCGGCCGCTGTTGGTTCGGGACAACATCTGCTGTTGCCGTGCCCTTTTCGGGCGCCCAAATAAGAGAACCTGAAACACCGAAACCCAGAAGAAAGAGCCCCACAACAGCAGATTCATAACACATGTCCATTGGTTTTGCGCAAAAATGCGCACGTTCCCGCCACTTCAGACCGGGCTGCGACGGGTCAGCCCTTCGGAGAATCCGCCGACCTCGCTGCCGTTCGCCGGAGCGCCGCTGCCGGAGCGCCCCCGCTCGCCGTCCTCCACCCTCCTCTCGAGGGCGAGCATCCGCTCGCCATACTGCTCGAACCTCGGGAGTGCAGTCAGAATCGGCAGTAAGCATGGAGTTCAAGCATGCAAGAGATCCTTGGAGCGGCACAGAAGCCAAGGATGCGCGCGTGCGCCCAAACGTGCACACGATGGCACGAACCGCAGGAAGCAAGGTGCCTTTGCGGTAGGGGCCCATCCCTGAAGCCACTTTTGACAGCACTGTCCCAGATCCGGGCCAATCCACGGCCTGGTCGTGGCCCATCGCTCGACCCAGACCGAAGCCCGAAACACTCCGTGGATCGATCTTCCGATCGACCACCCTGATGCCGATCGGTCAAGAGGCCGGTAACCTTCCCACCCCCGGGTCAAAAGACCAAGGGTCCGCAAGGTTTGAGCAGCAGCTCGGCCTCATTGCGGGCCAACCAGAGCCCCTTGTTAAGAATGTCAGGCAACGAGCACGGATCCGTGCCGTCGCCAAAGAAAAAACCCTGGCTTCGGGCAACAGTAGATGAACGTTTTCTTATTCATCGTTTCGACATTGGGTGGAAGAAGCCTGCTTTTCTCTTGCATGGCTTTCGCCACCCCCCTCGCCCCTCTTCAGGCGGATACTGGCGTGCAAGTGTCTTTCGACTTGCGTGAACTCCGCACGTGCCAGTCGTTTGCGGCTCGCTTCAGGTTCAGGCTCCCCCATGTCCATGCAAGTCAACTTACCAGTTCCTCTGCTCAGTGCGACTACTGTGTTGCAGCAGTGCGTCCTGTCGGGGAGGCTCCACCTGCCTGAGAAACAGGCGCCGAAACCAACTCAGATCTACTCCAGGGGGTGGGGGTAGGGAGAGGGGGTGCGAGGGCCCGCGCCGATCGGCAAAACAAGGAATAAGAAAACGATCACTAGAAGGAACGCCCGCGCTGATGTTTCAGGTACGGCGCGCCCACGCGGTCCCGATGTCGAGATCCTCCCGGGCGCAGGTGACAAGGGGAGGTCTCCGTGCCCTGCACTAGTTATCCCAGCTGTGCCGCCATCGGCGTAGGGGCGCGCGAAGGCGCGAAAGACCTGCTCGATCAAGCATCGAGGGATCGGCGATCTGATCGGGCACCGATCGGCGGATCAGGCCCGTCTGAAGCCCGAGCACGCCCCTCCACTCGTCGTGGGAGAAGTCCATCTGGTCGAGCCTCTCGTTCTGCGACTCGATCGCCTGGAGGGGCCAAGCAGTGAAGAGGCGGGGACAGCTCGGAGCGGCACGGCCAGGAACTGCTGCTCAGCGCGTGTCGCGGCGGCGGCCCGAGCGCCATGCTATGCCCTGCAAGCAAGTAAAAATGGGACTGGGACCCGAACCGCGGTGGGCCAAAGCTCGCGGCGCGACACGCCAAGCGAAACATCCTGACCGTGTGCTGCTTTTCCTGCTTCGATCGCCGAGTCCAGCCGGCTCTGCAGCTTCACCGCCTTCGAGTACTGGTCGTCGTAGAGCTGCCTGTGGCTCGCGTTCGTCTCCTCGAGCAGCTGCTCCAGCGAGGCCTGCCGCTCGGCCAGCGCGGAGACCTTCCGAGGATGTCGTGTTTGTTCTCTTGAGGGAGGGGGGTACACGTGGTTGAGCTTGCGCTTCCAGGCCCAGACATGTGGGCGTCGGGATGGAGATCACGAAGGGAGATGTTCGTCGTTTCTGGCCTCCAGGAGCCCTCGCTGGGCTCCAAGATCGTCAAGAAAGGACTCAAGGATGCGAAACTGGCCCTTGGGAAAGGGTCACGTCTTCTGAGGACCGCGTATGGACAAAATCAAGAAGCCGGATGCATGGGCGCTTCCAGCGACATCGGGGACAACTGTCCAGACGCAGCCAGAGGTATCAGATGAGCAGTAGACACACACACACACACGCAGCAATGGAGACTGCACGTTCTGCCTATGACCCTCCACAGTGGCTCCGAGACTTCTGCGGGTCTCTTGGCCATCGGGGGAGAACAGCCTTCTGTGTGGCACTTGCTGGTGGGCTGACTTCTCGACTGGTACCCCAACAGTATGGCCTAAGGCTCAAGCTTGCCCCTCCCACTCGACGGTGAGCTGGATCCCAAAGACTCCCCCCGGCAACACACATCATCCGACATGATTTGGGGCGGAGAGGGGGGGGAAGAAAAACCGTGTTTGTCCTACGGCAGGTTCGTGTCGTGTCGACCCCGGCGTTGGTTTTTGACACCGCAGGGATCGTTCAACCTTGAACGATCGGCCGTTGCCGCAACGTCCGACCGTTCAACATCGATCGATTCTGGGTCGCCGGCGGCGTTCAACCTTGAACGTCCGCGCTGGGGTCGCCGCTGGTCGACACGACGCAGACCTACCGTACCCTGTTCCTTCACCCCCTCTCTCTGCCGAGCTGGCCACCCTCCTCCGCGATCTCCGCCCTCCCCGACTGCCGACGGGGACCTTCCCCAGAGGTCCGACGCTTCGACTGCCGACGGGGACCTTCCCCAGAGGTCGACCCTCCTCCTCCTCCTCCTCCTCCTCCTCCTCCTCCTCCTCCTCCTCCCTCCTCCTCTTCCTCCTCCTCCTCGAAAATGAAAACAACGGGGCTCTGACCCTTTCCCCGGCCCCGTTGTTTTCATCCCGAGCTGTTCCTGCACGGCCCTGTGGGGCCCAGCGAAGGCCCCCCGGACGCGAGCATGATGTTGCTCGCATCGTGCTTAAGGACTACACTCAAAAAATACTGTCGAGCACCCGGGCAAAGTATCGAAACAGTGGTTGCCCGACACGCTAGCGAAGTGTCGAACGAGCAGCGCCTCCCAGGGCCCGACACGTGAAAGCCCTCCAATTTCGATACTTTCTTGGTGCTCGACATTCTTTCGGGCGATCAAAACTAAAAAACGATTGGAACATTCGGGGATCTGCTGACCCAGGTCAATGCAGACCCGGGACAGTCAGGCCTTGCAAAATCCTGCAAGATACTGCAGGATCCTGCACCCAAACCTGGGTCAACGCGAAGGATCCTGCAAGAGCCTGCAGGATCCTGCACCCACTGACCCGGTTCAATGCGACCCTGGCCCTGCAGGATCCTGAAATCTCTGGCGCTCTGGCTGACCCCCGTTTGCATTGACCCCCGTCTCTTTCGACTGCTCGCAGGACTGACCCTGGGTAAGAGTGACCCTTGGTGCGCGACTTTTGGGGGGCCGCGGGGGGACCAACCCTAGGCGCGCAAGCAGCTGCTACTGCCTCGTTTTTAGCCGTCTGGGGACCCATCAGTTCGCGCACCAGATAGAGGGAAAACAAACCTACTTTTCGTTTTTGACCACCCTCGGTTCCAAGAGATACCAAACGATGCCAAACTACGGCCTGTACTGGTCAGGCCGCTCGACGAGGAGGCGCGTGGTATGGCTTGGTCTTGCCTGGAAGCGAAAGCGGGGTAGGTCATTCACGCTCTGACCAAAGGCCAGTCCGGCGAAAGGTCACTCTTACGTCTAGTCGACCCTTGAGCCCCGAAGGATAAAAACGCGAACATGTCCGGGCCGCCTCCGCTTCGCACGCCCGCCGATCGGCCTCCGCGGGCGCGGCGCCGGGCCTGCCCTCCGGGGCGGCGCCGGGGTGCTGGCGGTCGCCCTGGGCCCGAAGCGCCTCGGTCTCCCGCCGGAGCTCCTGGAAGGGGGGGGAGGAGGAGGATCGTGGATCGAGGAGGAGGATCGAGGATGGATCGAGGAGGAGGAGGATCTTATAGAAGATCGAGGCGGAGCATCGAGGAGGAGGAAGCATTTACAGCATCCCGCAATTGCTGGTAAGAGTGAGGGGGCGGCCGGGACGTCGGCAGTCTGCGATGCGAGGCTCTGAAGAAGCCAGCCGCAGGCGCCTACTTTTCGCAAATTCTACAACGAGCCCGCCGCAGGCGCCGTCTCTTTGTTAAAACAATGTGGGTGGGTCGCGGGTGGGCTGCTGCTGGGTCGCGGGTAGGTCGCGGGTGGGTCGCGTGCCGGGTCGCGGGTGGATCGCGGGTGGGTCGCCGATGGGTCGCGGGCCGGGTCGCGGGTGGGTCGCGGACCGGGTCGCGGGCCGGGTCGCGGGGTGGGTAGCGGGCTGGGTCGCGGGGTGGGTCGCGGGGTGGGTCGTGGGGTGGGTCGCGGGGTGGGTCGCGGATGGGTCGCGGGTGGGTGGCGGGTGGGTCGCTGGTGGGTCGCGGGTGGGTCGCGGGCTGGGATGCGGGGGGGACGACGACAACAACAACGCGACGCAACGCAACGCAACGCAACGCGACGCAACGCAACGTAACGCAACCCAGCGCAACGCAACGCAACGCAACGCAACAACAACAACAACAACAACAGCAACAACAACGACAACACCACCAACAACAACAACAACAACAACAACAACAACAGCAACAACAGCCACAACAACACCACCAACAACAACACCAACACCACCACCAACAACAACAACATCAGCACCAACCACAACAACACCAACAACACCAAAAGCAACAACAACAACACCACCACCAACAACACCACTAACAACAACAATAACACTAACACCAACAACACCACCACCAGCAGCAACAACCACAACAACAGCAGCAGCAACAACAACCATAACAACAACAGCAGCAGCAATAACAACAACAACAACAACAACAACAACAGCAGCAACAACAACAGCAACAGCAAAAACAACAACATCACCATCACCATCACCATCATCAACACCAACACCAACAACAACAATCATTTTAAGACGCAGCACCCTGGAGATGCGGATAAGAGTGAGGGTCGGTGGGGACGTCGGCAGCTTGCGAGACCCTGGAGAAGCCCGCCGTAGGTGCCAAAGTGTCACAAATTATACAACGAGCCCGCCGCAGGCGCCCTTTTTTCGTTAAGCCAATGTGAGTCGGTCGCGGGTGGGTCGCGGGTGGATCGCAAATGGGTCGCGGGGTGGGTCGCGGGTGGGTCGCTGGTGGGTCGCTGTTGGGTCGCGGGTGGGTCGCGCGTGGGTCGCGGATGTAGAAGGCAGAAAATCCACCCCCTTAGTAATCACCCCGACAAGCGAAGCCGTTTAGTAAACGCACACAAGGAAGGAATCGAACACAGCAAGGCTGATTAATAAACGCCCAAGGCCGTTTAGAAAACGTCAATTGTCGGGTCCGGGTCGATTTTCCTCCCTTAAAGATAAGTCGCGGGGGGTGGGTCGCGGGTGGGTCTCGGGATGGGTCGCGGGTGGGTCGCGGGTGGGTCGCTGATGGGTCGCGGGGTGGGCCGCGCGTGGGTCGCGGGGTGGGCCGCAGGTAGGTCGCGGGTGGGTCGCGGGTGGGTCGCGGGGTGGGTCGCGGGTGGGTCGCGGGGTGGGTCGCGGGGTGGGTCGCGGGGTGGGTCGCGGGGTAGCTCGCGGGGCGGGTCGCGGGTGGATCGCGGGTGGGGCCACAACAACAGCAACAACACCACCAACAACAACAACAACAATTACTAGCACGTGGGGACACTCCGTTCTCACCAGTGCCAGGGTTTTCATAGGAGGCGGGCAATACCCCCACTTTGTGGGGGGGCCGGTTCAAGCTCTACCAAATTTCCAAACGACTCTTCGCCACCACCCACACCCAGCTTCCCGCCCTATGACGTTCGGACACTTCACTTCGTGGCCTGCGGACGACCGTGGCTACTACACTGGCGCATGGGTACAGTGACTTGTTGTGGTAACATTTTCTGTAAGCTAGCTTAGTATACGACTTTTCCCCCTGTTCCAACACTGGACACCTGTACTGGTTTTTCGTGGTAACATGTTCCTGACGCTAGAATAGGAAACCACGGTAAACCAGTACGACGCCGGTACTGTCTGTAGGTCCTACAATGATATGGACTGCTTTGGCTGGTGAGGCGCTAGCGTCTGATACGACGTTTTTCCGTTTCTGTACCACACAAGCGAAGACACTTATTTTGAGTGGTACCACGTGGGTGGCGCCAGCATACCACAGGACTTGTTTCCGTTGTTGTGAGACGATACATGCTCATTCTTGTTCTGTGGTTGTCGTTCCGACCTCAATGTGCAACACTGGCTCATTCGTCTACGAAATGCACGTGGGTAGCTCTCTCTGGCTGGAGGTCCTGATGGTTGTGGTTGTCCCGATGGTTGTCGCGATGATTGTCCCGATGGTTGTCCCGATTGTTGTTCCGATGGTTATCCCGATGGTTGTCCCGATGGTTGTCCCGATCGTTGTCCCGATGGTTGTCCCGATGGTCGTCCCGATGGTTGTCCTGATGGTTGTGGTTGTCCCGATCGTTGTCCCGATGATTGTCCCGATGATTGTCCCGATGATTGTTCCGATGGTGGTCCCGATGGTTGTCCCGATGGTTGTCAGCGATGCCGGATCCTCACGCCCCCCGCCGGAGGAGGAGGAGGAGGAGGAGGAGCAGGACAAGGAGGAAAGGAGAGAAGGGAGAAAGGAAGGAGGGGCGGGAACGGCGCTTGCACGCCCACCCACCGTCTTTTCCCCGCCGCGGCTCTGGACACATACGTGCTCTGGAGACATACTAAAGAGACGAGTCCCTGCGCTCATCATCTTCTGGCATACGCCTGTCTCTGATGGCGCGGATCGGGCGCAATGCTGCCAGCTGGGCTCCTGGCAGCACTACATCAGGGGCCAAGTGTCCAAGCATGGTGCCGATGCGCCTCCTCGCGGATACATCGCCCGTGCGTGCGTGGGGCGCCAATGCCGCCAGGACGCCCTGGACGTGCGCCGGCATACCCAGATCCACCTGGTAATCCATGACATTCCCATACTCGGACTGCCCGAAAGAACGCCATACTGGCATGTGCCACCAATGGTCCTGTTTCGGGAAATAGGTGATACCATCCTTGACGTCGTCGGAGGCATTCCACAGAGCCATAGATGGCGGCTCCGTACCCATGGATCCCGTGTGTGTTGCCACAAATACATCCAGGCTCGCCATGCGCCTGTATGACAGACCTGATACCACCTCGGAATGCACGTGAATACGCAGGAGCTGCAACAGCCTGCGCAAGCCAGCATACACCCAGCCGCCGTGCCCGCCGTATACCAAACCAGATGGTGCGCGCGCGAAGAAAAAACGAATGTGTCCCATATGGTATTATTTGACAGGGATGATGGCCCTGGCATGCGCGCAACCGTTGTTGCAGAAGTTCGAAGCACGTGAAAAAGTTGCTCGCAAGAGCCCGTTTGACAGAAATGTTGAAAAAGTATTGGGTTTCCTAAGAAATCCGCAAGAGCGCGCGGGATGAATTTTTGAAACTTTTTTTTTTGAAAAACCATTGGGTTTTTCATGTTTTTATGTTAAAATCGCTACGAAAACTAAGGTTTTGGAAGGATTTCATCTTGCGCGCGCGAGTGTGCACTTCGTGTCATTTTTTGCAAAGGATTCTTGAAGTTTGGTTATGTTAGAACAAGACATGTCATTTTATATTGTTTTTTGACAGGGAAAGCGGGCGTCAACAAAACAACCGGATCCGGACTCCCCCGTTTTGCCTGAGACTTCCTCACGAAAATGATGAAAATGTGGCTGCGGCCTAGGCGCGGCGAGGGGGGCGTGCACCAGGGGGCCCAACAATAATTATTCTTTAGAAGTAATAATATTCAACAACAAAAACGACGCAACAAGCATTATCCCCACTACGGCTTCCCACTTCAGACACGCACCCAGGGACAATGAATGACTGTTCGGCCACCTCACTCGGACTGTTCGCTCCTATCTGCTCCCGTGCCAATCAATACGTATACCCCAATCCCTCGGTACCCACCCTCGTCGTCTTCGATCGTATCCCCTTGGGGGTGTATCTTCCTTGCCTGCCACGTGCAAATAGTGCAGCCCCTAAAACAAGGGAAGAGAGGACGGGTGGAAGGGGGAGGGAGAAGAATGGAACACGAGAGAAATTAGCAGGAGGGGGGCAAGGAGCAGAAAACAAGAGGTAGAACCAGACGGGCAGATCGGGTGGGCAGACCCATAGCGGGCAGGTCGGGAAGGCGGGCCAAGGCGACCAGGTCGAGCAGGCGGGTTGCTGAAGCGTGGGTCCTGCATGTATCACGAAGACGTCTCGAGCGATAGCGCGATTCCCAAGTAAATCGTGAGAAAAGCCAGAGCGAGAGCGTGGTTCCTGAGCGCCGAGGGCGCATCGTCTGAAAAAATTGTAAAGTCCCACGCGAGAGCGCGATGCGTACATGAATTGTGAGGACGTCCCGCGCGAGAGCGCGATTTGGGAATACATTGAGAGGAAATATCAAGCGGGAGCAGTTGTTGTCATTGTAAATCGGGGGCCAGGGGCTCAGTTTGAGCCCCTTGACTTTCCGTTATAAAAAACAGGGTGCGAGTCCCGGGGGAAACACTTCAATTAACAAAAACACAGTGGTCACCGGAGGGGGGGGTCAACAACAATTATTCTTCAATAGTCAGGGCTCAACAACAACAGCAGCAACTACAACAGTAGCAACAACATCACCACCACCACCACCAACAACAACACCAACACCAACACCAGCACCACCAACAACACCACAGACAACAACAACAAGCAGAATCCGCGCCGCGGAATTCCACTTCACGCACCCAGGGACAGTGAATGACCGTTCGCCTCCCCCACTCTGATGATGAGAAGGGGAAGGATGATGATGAGGAGGAGGAGGACCCGTGTAAGCCAAAGACTCATCACTGATGTTGGAATAAGCCCCCCTTCCAAGCTTTTCCTTCATACATCTTGCAAGGATTCGTTTCCACTGAGAGGAGTGCCCCGTTGGGAGACAACCGTTTGAAGATCCTGAAGCGTGCCAAAACACCATTCCTGGAACTTCAAAGGACGCTGCGCCTTTGCGATCCTGAACCGTACCAGAAAACCATTCCTGGAACTTCAACACTACCAATCACAATGCCGGCTGCGCCCTGATAGTCCTGAATCGCCCCCAAACGTAATTTCTAGTACGTTGGCCATGGGAATTCGTAAAGCCCCTGCTAATGCTGCAAACGAATGTGCGTGGCGCTAAGACGAGAGGCACATGTTGAAAAGGATCGCCCTTAATCCGTGGAGCCATTGCATGTTTTTTATATACAAAAAGACGCGTGTGCGCGGCACGAATGCGAAGCGATCAGTTTGACAACGACCCGCCCTCAATCCTTGAAGCCCTCGCGTTTTTGCAGACGAGTGTGCGCGGCGCTGAAGCGAGAGCGACAGTTTGAAAACCACCCGCCATACATCTGCGAAACTCGTGCATTTTTGTAGAACGAGCGCGCGCTGCGTTAATTCGAGGACTACATGTTGAAAACCGCCCGCCCTCCATCCGTGAAGCTGTTGCAGAAGATTAAGCTTCGGGGTCTAGATGGTCGGGGCGTGTCGAGCGAAACGCCCGGCCCGCCCTTTCGACCAGCCTCGGGGTGAGACAGGGAGGAGTTGTCTATAAAGAAAAGAAAGGGAGGAGGAGGAGGAGGAGGAGGAGGAGGAGGAGGAGGAGGGGAGAGGAGGAGGAGGAGGAGGAGGAGGAGGAGGGGAAGAGGGGGGAGGGGAGGAGGGAGGAGGAGGAGGAGGAGGAGGAGGAGGAGGAGGAGAGGCTTCTCGAAGGGCCTCGAAGGCAGAGCCTGCGAGCCCAGGGGCACGGGCGCGAGACGGGCCTCGCTCGGCCAGGTTCCCCCTGAGAGGGGAAGGGGGGGAGGGAGGGAGGGGCGCGAGGGAGGGGAGGGAGGGATGGATGGGGGAGGCAGGAGGGCGGGAGGAGGGAGGGAGGATGGAGAGAAGGAGGAAGGACGGAGGAGGGAGGGAGGGAGGGAGGGAGGAGGGAGGGAGAAAGGGAGGGAGGGGGAGGCAGGAATGAGGAGTTTCCTCAGTGTCCTGCGGGTCGGCGGCAGGAGGGCAGAGAGGGAGGAGGATGGGGGGGGATAAGAAGGGGGGAGGTGGAGGATGAAGTAGGAGGGGGAAGGATAAAGCAGGAGGGGAGAAGATGAGGATGAAGATGGGGACGGGGGAGGAGGATGATGAGGAGGAGGAAGAGGAGGAGGAGGAGGAGGAGGAGGAGGAGGAGGAGGAATATGAGGAGGATAACGACCTGTGTAAATCCCAGACGCACCAACGATAATGCAATAAGCCCTCCCTCCCAAATCCTCGTCATCACGCCCTACAGGACATTCGCAACATTACGAGAAATGTCTCACTGGAAAGCAGCAGTCGGAAAATCCTCAATCGCGCCTGAACACAGTTCGTGGGACTTCAGCAGTGCGAATACATGTGGCTGCTGCGCCCTGACAGCCTACATGGTGCCAGAACACCATTGCTGGGACTTCACCATCACGAACCAGCGTGAATGTTGCGTCCTGACAATCCTAACTCATGCCAGGATGTCGTCCCTGGGACTTCGACCATGCGAACCGTTGGAACAGGTGTAGACATCCCAAACGAATGTACGCGGCGCGAAGCGAGAACCACCGATTGAACAAGAACCGCTCTCCATCCTTGAATCTGTTGCAACCGTTCAATACGAATGCGCGCGGCGCTAATGTGAAGCTGTTGCAGGCGTTCGATACGAATGCGCGCGGCGCTAATGCGAAAACCACACTGTTAAACAGCACCCGCCCCCCATCGGTGAAATTGTTGTAAGCGTTTGAAGCGCATGTGCGCGGAGCGAAAGCGAGAACCAGAACTTGAAGACCACCCGCCCTCCATGCGTGAAGCTCTTGCACACTTGTAAAAGGCATGTGGGGCGGCACTAGCCGAGAACCGCATGTTGACACTCACCCGCCCTCCATCCGTGAAGCTGCTGCAGACTTCAAGCTCCAAGATAATGTATTGCAGGGAAGTCTCGGGCGAAACGCCCGTCGCACTGCCCATACGTCTGGGGGTGAGACAGGGCGGAGTTATCTATCAGGGTAAGGACTCGAAGAAGAGGAGGAGGTGGAGGAGGAGGAGGAGGAGGGGGAGGCGGGGGAGAAGGGGGAGGAGGAGGAGGAGGAGGAGGAGGAGGAGGAGGAGGAGAAGGAGGAGGCGGGCGAAAGAAAGAGACTTCTAACGCCAGCATGAATCAGGAATCAGGAGGAGGAGGACGATGAGGGAAGAGGAGGGAGGAGGAGTGCTGAGTAGGAGAAAGGCGAATCGGGTCAGATCGGCCCTCTCCAACGGATGCGTTCGGATGCCTCATCCAGGGAGGGAGGGAGGAGGGAGGGGAAGGAAGAGGGAGGAGTGGTAGGGAGCAACAGGAGGAAAGACGTTGAGAGAGGAAGGGACAGGTTGAGTAAAGTTTTCATTGGGTTTGACCTGTGTCATGGGTTCTAAGATTTTGCTACTGATTGGGGTAAGGGGGGCCTGTAAAGGCCAGGATCTAGGAAGTCTGCAGCAGGGCAGAGGGAGGAGCGCAGAAGGAGGGGAACACGGAGAGGAGGAAGGGGCGGAGGGCGAGGAGACCGAGGAGGAGGAGGAGGAGGAGGAGGAGGAGGAGGAGGAGGAGGAGGAGGAGGATGGTGTGGAGGAGCGCCGTGCCATGAGGGGGATGATGGGGGAAGGCGGGGAGGAGGAGCAGGACGAGGAGGAGGAGGAGGTCGACCAGGATGATAGCGTAGCCGGTGGTCCTATTCCCATACGCGGTCTCTAGAGCCTGCCCACTGCAACTGCGGCGGTCCCGCGCTGCAGACGATGACTATGATTGGGACAGGGATACAGATGAGTCTGCACAAGCAGGGGGCCAAGACGAGAAAAGCGAGGACCGGTAGCACGACGAGGAGGCGGAGGGCTACGACAGCGAGGAGGAGGAAGAGGACGAGGACGAGCGCAACGATCAGATGAAGGACGAATGGTGAGTTATGGAGGAATTGGGAACACGAGGGCGAAGGGGAATGAAGAGGGACGAAGTAGGGGTGCTCGGCGACGACGACGACGACGACGACGACGACGACGACGACGACGACGACAAGGCGGTCCTCGACGCGCCGCTCCATCTCCTCGACGGCCCTGCCCTGTTCGCACGGACGTCAGCAAAGGGGGAGGTGGGGGGGCGGCCAATAGTCACGGGGAGCTGGGGCAGCCCGGGCGCACGAAGAGGAGGAGGAGGAGGAGGTGGAGGAGGAGGAGGAGGAGGATAAGGACGAGGGAGGAGGAGTTGGAGGAGAAGGGGGAGGACGAGGGGGAGGACGAGGGGGATGAGGAGGAGGACGACGAGGGGAGAAGGAGGAGGGAGGAGGGGAGAGGAGGAGAGGAGGAGGAGGAGGAGGAGGGGGAGGACGAGGGGGAGGACGAGGGGGAGAAGGAAAAAAGCCATTTGGCCTCTTGCGGGCCAGCCGGTCCCGATCGATCCATCGGGGTCGGTCGGCGCCTGCCGCCCGATCGATCGCGGTGGCAGGGCGCATCGCGCATCGGCCAGCCCCCGAGGCCGGGCTCACGCGCGCCGCGCGCCATCTTCTGCGGCAGGGGGCCTCCCGTGCTACCCTGTCCCCTGCCGCAGGCCGCGGCGCTCGCGGCCGCGCTGCGGCCCAGCGGCGGGACGCCGCGACATCGCCGAGGAGGAGGTCCAGAGGGCGCTGCACACCGCCGTGAGCGGCAGCAGAGAGCCCAGGACAGGCTCCTGCTCCGCCTGCGGGCAGCGGCCGAGCGCCTGGCCGCCCACCACTCTGCCCAGCCAGCGATGGCCCGAGACGGGAAGGGCAGAGGCAGTGGTGGCCGAGGCGGCAAGGGCCAGGCCCAGGAGGAAGCAGCACCGCCAGCAGCGCCCCCATAGCGCCAGGAGAGGTGGCATGGTGCTGGATGGCAAGAGCAGCACTGGCATGCGGAGCCAGCAGGCGAGGACCCGCCCTGGCGCAGACCGCCATCACGGCCGCGGCGCTCTGGCCAGGCCAGCCCTCGCCAATGGCAGCCGCAGCAGCAGCAGCAGCCCAGCCAGCCCCCCTGGCAGCAGCAGCAGCAGCAGCAGCAGCAGCAGCAGCAGCAGCAGCAGCAGCCCAGGGCGGGCAAAGGCGGCCAGGCCAGCTCCAGCAAAGCGGACCAGCGGGCCCAAAAAGTCATTGACTCTGTGGCAGCCTGCACGCTGGACGAGGCCACCTCCCACCCAAAGTGGCAGGCGCCCCCAGCCGACCGCGCAGGCATCCAGAAGTTTCTGAGCAGCGCTGACCAGAGGCTGAGGAAGCTCGGCGACCTGGTCATTGCCAAGCAGGCCGCGGGCGTCAGCACGAAGGAGCAGTTGATGGAAATCTCGGTCATCAAATATCAGAAGCTGGTCACGAGGAGGCCAAATGACCAGCTACAGGTGCTCAGCAAAAGGCGCAAGGCCCTCAAACTCGAAGTCATCGCCCTCGAGGCCAAGACGAACGAGCTGCGGGACGACCTCAAGGCCAAGCAGCAGGAGTTGAGGCAGGTCGAGTCCAACATCGCCGACGTGCGGGCCGTGCTCGCCGACGGCGGCGCGGCGGACGACGAGGGCGACTGGGACGCGGACGGGTTTGGCTTGGCGCCGAGCTGAGATACCTTCCACAAGGCCGTGGTCGATAGGCGCCTGAACAGCGAAGCACCTGGTGACGGACTTCCAGCTTGGCCAGCGGGAGTGGTGGGGCGCTCGCCACGCTCAAGAGCCAGCTCGGCAGGCAGCGCATCCAGAGGCTTCGCCGATCAGGTGGCTAAGGCGAATGCGGAGCGGGCCCACCAACAGCAGCGCCATGCCGAAGCCGAGCAGGAGTTTACTGCCGAGCTGGCGGAAGTCAGGAGGGTCGCCCGCGAGCAGGCACTCCGCCACAACGCCGAGCAGGCGAAGCTCAGGCTGGCCCTGAAGGAGGAGTCAGAGCAGCTGCAGCGCACCACCGTAGCGGAGAGCGCAGCCCAGCAGCAGCAGCAGCAGCAGCAGCAACACAAGGCTCTCCGCCACGAGATCAAGAAGCAACAAGCCGAGCAGCTCGAGTTCGCGACGCAGATGGAGGCCAGGTTAATCAGCCATGACGCAGCTTTCAGTCAAGTCAAGGCTGAGGCCGAGGCGGCGACCCAACGTGCAAATCACCTGCGAGAGCAGCTTGAGCGTGCCCGCGTGGAGCACCGAGCGCAGCCGCAGCCCCAGGACAGGGTCTACCAAGACCTACTGCGGGCAAGCGCCGAGGCGCAAGAGGCATTGCGACAGGCCCAGCACGAGAGCGCCCAAGCGACAGCTGCAGCTGGCACTCTCAAGCAGCAGCTCATCAGGCAGGAGCTTGTCATGGAAGAGAAGCTACAGGAGGCCAAGAAGGACCACGCCCTTGAGCTTGAAGCTGCCGCCGAATCAGCCAGGGCCCAGGCAATTGCCCAGGCCCAAGTGGTTGCCAATGCCAAGGGAAAAGGAGCCCTCCCGCCGGCAGAGGCGGCCAGGCTGCAAGGGATCGTCCAGACAGCAGCACGGCAGCAGGATCGGCTCAAGCAGACCAAAAGCGAGCTCGAGGCAGCTGAGGCCCGCATGCACGAGCTCCAGCAGTACTCCAAGCTTGAGGCGGGCGCTGCGCAGCGTGCAGTACAGGTCGCCCACCACGAAGCAGCGGAGCTGAGAAGCGCCAACGAGGAGCGGCAGATCCCGCACGAGGTGCAGGCATTGCAGTTCGCCCTGCTAAGGACCAGAGCAGAGGAGGAGGAGATTGCGAAGGCCAGCCTGAAGGACAAGGAGGCAATGCGGGCGGAGCTCGAAGGCAGTGCTGAGCGAATAAGGTCGAGTCTCACCCGCCAAGTCATGATAGAAGAAGCGAATGCACATGATTTGCAGCTGCACACAGAGAGCCTGCGACAGGAACTGAGCAGCTACGCGGTGCAACTGAGCGAGCAGAGGTCCAACGCAGCGGTGCAGGAGCAGGCGCTGGAGGAGGAGCTCGCCCAAGCCCTCACCTTCAGGATCGCCAGCATGGAAGAGGCCTCCGCCATGGAAGACTTTGCCAGCCAGCAGAGGACGGGCAGGGAGGAGGCCATTCACCTCGCGCTGCAAGAAAGCCTCCAGCGCTCCCGCACGCTACACACCGAGCTCGACGCCATCGCAAAGAAGGAGAAGCAGGGCGCGTCGGAGACAGAGGAGTTAAAGCTGAGAATGCAGAGCCTGGAAGCCATTGCAGCCAGTAGGGAACGTGAACGCAAAGCCATGGTCAACCTGTACGCCGAGATGAGGCAATACGGGCAGGAGGGCTGCGACTTCACCAAGAGGGCAGCTCATCACCTCGTCCAATGGGGGCCACCTCCCAACGTCCCAAGAGTCCATGGACGACTACCAGGAGGCCGCCAACCTGTACGAGAAAACCAGGAGCAGCCGAGGCAGCTACCGCCCCAGCGGAGACCCCCGTTGCGGCCACTCTCCCAACTGGTGCAGCCGAGGAGCGCCCAGCCAATAGGGGCCGTAGGCAGGGCAGCTCCTCGCCTCGGAGGCCAGCATCAACCAGGTCAGCCAGGTCAGCAGCCCGCCAGGCCGACGAAGGCGATGTACCGCCCAGGGAGCGTGACAGGTCCAGGAGCCCCGACAGGCCAGACCCGCATGAGGAGGCAGAAAGATACGAGCGTGAACAAGATGATTTGCGCAGACAAGACGCTGAGGAGAAAGCACAATGGGAAGCCGTACAGATGGAGGAGGAGCTGGAGTCCGTAGTGAGGGACCACGAGGCGGAGGAGATCCAAAGGCGCTACTACGAGGGGGCCCCCTTGACCCAGTTCGGCACTGTGGGCCCACAGGGCTCCCAAGTGGAGGACGACTGCTCGGAGCACGCGCCGATGATCTACCCCGCCAGCTGGCCGCCCTGGAGCCAGGATCACCCCGCACCCGAGGAGGGTGAGGAGATGAGGGGAGTCACGCAGCACGAGGCAGACACAGACCTGGCATCCACTTCAAGTGCTAGCTCGGTACCAGCAGAGCAAGGCGACCCTCCTACTCCGACAGCATCTCAGGTGATCTTCATCCCAGCATCGCCAGCGCCACTCAGCGAGAGGTCACTCACGCCCACAGTTCCATTCGGGCATGATGAGCAGCGCGGCCAAGGAGGTGGAGAGGGAGCCGACAGCTTCGCACTGACCCCTCCCCCTGCATCCCAGCAGAGCGCGGAGGCGGCAGCAGCCAGCATCGAGAGGCAGTACGAGGGCATCGACATCCTAACGCGCCAGCACACCTCAGCCGCCGCCGCAGCTGCAGCCCTTGAGGAGGCGTTTGGACCCGCGCCCGCATTTCCAGGAGAAGACATCAGCCAGGCCCACAAGGGTCAGCGGGTAGACTCTGGAGAGTCAGGCATAGCACGTCTTCGTGGCCGAGTGGCCCGCAGGAGGGACGAGACAAGGGGCACAGCACCCCCCTCCCCTCCTGCAACTCCTGGAGCCGAGGAGCAGGCAGCAGCAGCGCCCGCCGAACCCCCCCGAGGGGGGGAGGGGGCCTAGCAGCGCCGCCAGGCATCAGGTCATGCATGACAGAATTCACGGCCAGGAGGCGGCCGATGAGTCCGACAGGGCAGAGCACGACGGATGTGGGCTTCCTTCACGCTCTCCGATCAGTTCGACAGCATCGATCTCCTGTGCAGCATTGGGGAGAGCAGCTGGGGCCCAAAGCCCGCAGCACGGCAGTGGGGTCCTCCACTACGATGCTCGACCTACCCACCACCAGAGGCCTGAAAGCACGGCGGGCCCTGGGGTAATTTGTGACAGCCGTCTAGTAACACATAGACCAGCAGAGACTGCGACAGTCTCACACACCAGAGCAGATACTCCCAGGAGTCCAGGGTCCCGAGGGGCCACGACTCCAAGCAGAGGCGTTACCGCAACTGGCATTGGCAGCGGGAGGGCCACTCCCAATCGCAGCAGCCAGCAACAACAGCGGTATCAGTCACCTGGGTCTCGAGGGGCCAACGTGACACCACCACGGCCGACACGAGGGCCGCCCGCCGCGTCTCGAGGGGCGCTAGGCGGCAGCCAAGGAGGCACACTACCAGGGAGGAGTGATGCATCCGCCAATCTGTCAGCACTTCAGGTCACAAGCCACCAAGATGGCTGCAAGGATGCGTTACCGGCTGCCCTTGCACACAGCACGCCCCCCTCCGCCATCCGAGTCCACGAGATCGAGAATGCGGAAAGGACCTTTCTCGACGGACAAAACTCGAGTGGCAGCGAGGCCGAGGACGGCACGGAGCAATGTTACGAGGAGCGGAAGCAAGCGCGCGCAGTCGCAGCCTTCCGATCAGCCCAGCGGCGAGCACGCCGTGCACGGCGCGCTGCGGAGAGCCACAGTCGTCGGGACGACAGCAGCACCCACAATAAATACCGAGCCCTGGTGGTGGATCAGGGACACAGCGCCCGCACCCGATCCAGCCGCGTCAGCGACCAGCAGCAATCAAGTAGTCAAGAAGGCAGCCCAACCTGGCGGGTATGCACGGGGCCCCCTCACACTGCAAGGCCGCTGACGAGCGGATCTGCTCCCCACAGAGACGAGCAGA